CCAAAACTGAACCAGGAAGAAATAGAAGATCTTAACAGAGCCATCACAAGCAAGGAAATCGAAACTGTAATCAGAAATCTTCCAGCAAACAAAAGCCCAGGACCAGATGGCTTCACAGCTGAATTCTACCAAAAATTTAGAGAAGAGCTAACACCTATCTTACTCAAACTCTTCCAGAAAATTGCAGAAGAAGGTAAACTTCCAAACTCATTCTATGAGGCCACCATCACCCTAATTCCAAAACCAGACAAAGATGCCACAAAAAAAGAAAACTACAGGCCAATATCACTGATGAACATAGATGCAAAAATCCTTAACAAAATTCTAGCAAACAGTATCCAACAACATATTAAAAAAATCATACACCATGACCAAGTGGGCTTTATCCCAGGAATGCAAGGATTCTTTAATATCTGCAAATCAATCAATGTAATACACCACATTAACAAATAGAAAGATAAAAACCATATGATTATCTCAATAGATGCAGAGAAAGCCTTTGACAAAATTCAACACTCATTTATGATTAAAACTCTCCAGAAAGCAGGAATAGAAGGAACATACCTCAACATAATAAAAGCTATATATGACAAACCCACAGCAAGCATCACCCTCAATGGTGAAAAATTGAAAGCATTTCCCCTGAAATCAGGAACAAGACAAGGGTGCCCACTCTCACCACTACTATTCAACATAGTGTTGGAAGTTTTGGCCACAGCAATCAGAGCAGAAAAAGAAGTAAAAGGAATCCAGATAGGAAAAGAAGAAGTGAAACTCTCGCTGTTTGCAGATGACATGATCCTCTACATAGAAAACCCTAAAGACTCTACCAGAAAATTACTAGAGCTAATCAATGAAAATAGTAAAGTTGCAAGATATAAAATTAACACACAGAAATCCCTTGCATTCCTATACACTAACAATGGGAAAACAGAAAGAGAAATTAAGGAAACAATACCATTCACCATTGCAACAAAAAGAATAAAATACTTAGGAGTATATCTACCTAAAGAAAGAAAAGACCTATACGTAGAAAACTATAAAACACTGATGAAAGAAATCAAAGAGGACACAAACAGATGGAGAAACATACGGTGTTCATAGATTGGAAGAATCAATGTCAAAATGGCTATTCTCAAAGCAATCTATAGATTCAATGCAATCCCTATCAAGCTACCAACGGTATTTTTCACAGAACTAGAACAAATAATTTCACAATTTGTATGGAAATACAAAAAACCTCGAATAGCCAAAGTAATCTTGAGAAAGAAGAATGGAACTGGAGGAATCAACCTGCCTGACTTCAGACTCTACTACAAAGCCATAGTCATCAAGACAGTATGGTACTGGCACAAAGACAAATATAGATCAATGGAACAGAATAGAAAGCCCAGAGATAAATCCACGAACCTATGGTCACCTTATCTTCGACAAAGGAGGCAAGGATATACAATGGAAAAAAGACAACCTCTTTAACAAGTGGTGCTGGGAAAACTGGTCAACCATCTGTAAAAGAATGAAACTAGAACACTTTCCAACACAATATACAAAAATAAACTCAAAATGGATTAAAGATCTAAATGTAAGACCAGAAACTATAAAACTCCTAGAGGAGAACATAGGCAAAACACTCTCTGACATAAATCACAGCAGGATCCTCTGTGACCCACATCCCAGAATATTAGAAACAAAAGCAAAAATAAACAAATGGGACCTAATGAAACTTAAAAGCTTTTGCACAACAAAGGAAACTACAAGCAAGGTGAAAAGACTGCCCTCAGATTGGGAGAAAATAATAGCAAACGAAGCAACAGACAAAGGATTAATCTCAAAAATATACAAGCAACTCCTCCAACTCAACTCCAGAAAAATAAATGACCCAATCAAAAAATGGGCCAAAGAACTGAACAGACATTTCTCCAAGGAAGACATACAGATGGCTAACAAACACATGAAAAGATGCTCAACATCACTCATTATCAGAGAAATGCAAATCAAAACCACAATGAGGTACCATTACACGCCAGTCAGGATGGCTGCTATCCAAAAGTCTACAAGCAATCAATGCTGGAGAGGGTGTGGAGAAAAGGGAACCCTCTTACACTGTTGGTGGGAATGCAAACTAGTACAGCCGCTATGGAGAACAGTGTGGAGATTTCTTAAAAAACTGGAAATAGAACTGCCATCTGACCCAGCAATCCCACTTCTGGGCATACACACCAAGGAAACCAGATCTGAAAGAGACACGTGTACCCCAATGTTCATCGCAGCACTGTTTATAATAGCCAGGACATGGAAGCAACCTAGATGCCCATCAGCAGACGAATGGATGAGGAAGCTGTGGTACATATACACCATGGAATATTACTCAGCCATTAAAAAGGATTCATTTGAATCAGTTCTAATGAGATGGATGAAACTGGAGCCCATTATACAGAGTGAAGTAAGCCAGAAAGATAAAGACCATTACAGTATACTAACACATATATATGGAATTTAGAAAGATGGTAATGATAACCCTATATGCAAAACAGAAAAAGAGACACATATGCACAGAACAGATTTTTGGACTCTGTGGGAGAAGGCGAGGGTGGGATGTTTCGAAAGAACAGCATGTTTATTATCTATAGTGAAACAGATCACCAGCCCAGGTGGGATGCATGAGACATGTGCTCGGGCCTGGTGCACTGGGAAGACCCAGAGGAATCGGGTGGAGAGGGAGGTGGGAGGGGGGATCGGGATGGGAAATACATGTAACTCCATGGCTGATTCATGTCAATGTATGACAAAACCCACTGAAATGTTGTGAAGTAATTAGCCTCAAACTAATAAAAATAAATGAAAAAAAAAAAAAGAAAGAAAAAAAAAGAATTCTGACAAGGAAGTAATTTTTGGTGTCTATAAAATATTACACATATTTGTAATATATTACACATATGTAACTTGTAAAATATTATACATATGTGTAATGTAAAATATTACACATATTACTCTTGTTTCAAGACTAACAGCACATATTTCTTTCTCTCTTCCTCTCTCCAAAACTCTGAATATATTTTCAGTCTTCCCTCCTCAGCAATAAAAGGGGAGGCTGGAACTTGAAGAACAGAAAAAAAAGTGAAAATTCCCCTAAAGAAGGAAGGGTAGCAGAATCTGTGAGAATAAGGACCTATTATTTAATTTTAAGCAGTTTCAGTAAAATAAGCTGCCAAGCCAGCCTTGAGTTGAGAAATGATGGAATTAGCATCCAGTGGAAAAACAGAATGAAAAAAAGACAAGAGCATACTAGAAGGAATGTAAAGCAGAGAATTCAAAGTAGCAAGTCAGAACTATGGTTAGTAAGAGAAATATGTGTCCTTCTCCTAACCTATCCAAGAGTCCCTAGATATAGGAGAATTTCTGGGTTTCCTCTATACATGATGGTATCACAAATTGTTTCAGTGTTGGAATAATTGTTTGCTTATTTAACTTAGATGCACAGTACATCATGAGAAACGCTGGGCTGGAGGAAGCACAAGCTGGAATCAAGATTGCCGGGATAAATTTCAATAACCTCAGATATGCAGATGACACCACCCTTATGGCAGACAGTGAAGAAGAACTAAAGAGCTTCTTGATGAAAGTGAAAGAGGAGAGTGAAAAAGTTGGCTTAAAGCTCAACATTCAGAAAACTAAGATCATGGCATCTGGCCCCATCACTTCATGGCAAATAGATGGGGAAACAGGGGAAACAGTGGCTGACTTTTTTGGGGGCTCCAGAAAAAATGAATGATGAATGATCATAATTATAAGGCAGAAGAACCAGAACCAAGTCAAGGTTAGTTTTTAAAAGGAATGGAGGAGTATATGCTACTTTATAAGTAGAGTAGAGAGAAATAGATGAAACTGAAAGTGTTGAATTATGAAATAAATAACTTTTCTACAAATATTGCATCATTATATTGTACACCTGGAACTAATACAATATACCAACTGTCTCTCTATAAAAAATATTTTTTGAAGAAGTGGGAGAAAATCAGGTGAAGAGGAATGGATTTGGAAGGGGTAAGAAGAACCTCTTCACCTGAAGAGCACAGAGGGAGATATAGTGTATCTTCCTGAATAAGAAGAAATGATAAACTGGAAAAAATAGAAACTGGAGATGTTTGCAGTGAATAGGTTCAAATTTATTAAAACCATGGTTTGAGAACATAATGGTTGTGTTTTATTTCCTATTGTCAGTTGGGCTTAACACAGGTACTCCCTTCTTTACCATTTTAGTTCCTGGACATATTCAGTGATCAAATAATGTTTGTTATTTGAATAAATTGATATACAATCTTTGCATTCAAGGCCAGAGCTGTGCATAAGCTTTCTAGCAACATCATTCTAGTTAGAACTGCTACTCCCCAAATGCTCCTAGATCATCTTTTTCTTTCTTAATTTGTATCAGAACAACAAAGAGAGTAATAGAAGTAAAAAAACTAAGCTAAAGTAATTATAAAATGCAAAGCCAGCAGATAAATCATGCAACTAGACTCAATAAGCAATAATAAAAATCAATAAGCAAACCACCCAATCCCTAAGTCCCCTGCTTTCCCTAATACTCTCCATAATACTTTTTTATATGCTAATTTCAATTACTCTAATGTTTTTCCTTCTTGTTTTTGGGATGGCAGGCACATAATAACTTGGTTGTACTTGTGACTTAAGAAATAAAAGGCCAGGCACAGTCTTAATATATCATTTCTCTACCTTTTAGGTCCTTGACAGGCAAAGTGTGGACCTTGGATCAGCCACGTTGCCACTATCTGGGAGCTTGTTAGAAATGCAGGATTTCTTAAGCTATACTTCAGACCTGAATCACAACCTGCATTTTAACAAGATGCCCAGGTGATTCATACGCATTCAAGTTTGAGAAGCATTGTTCTAAGTGATACAAAAGATAAGGATCATTTCTAAGGATCTTACATACAAGATAACAAGAAAACTTCTAACAGAATTGAAAAAAAACAACTCACCATTGAATGTCAAATGAGGCATCAGTTTCTTCTTTTCTTCTTCATTGAGCTCAATCCCCTCATTTGCTAGAAAGTTGTCTAAGTCTGGGATATCAATCACCTCTCCTTAGAAAACATGAGAAATAAGTTGCAGAAATATTATATGACTATCTACAAAAGATGAAAAACACCATTTGTGGTTATATATAACATTTCCTCTGTGTATCCAGAATAATCAGGAAAATCAGAAAAAAAATCCTGTTTTAAGTTCTGGTTCAGAAAATCAATCAGAAAGTGGTTACAAAAAAGAATTCACTGATGGGTTATTGCAAAATTGAATGTAACAAATTAAGCTACATATAGATTTGTTTTTTTTTTCTCTTCCTGCCACCCTACTGGAAAGTTAAGTTTTTTCTATAGACCAGTTTTTAATTTATTAAAAAAAAGTTTGAGAAGTTTTTATGTAACACAGGGTGCTCAACCCAGTGCTCTGTGATTTACGGTGGAGGTGGGTGGAGTAGATAGGGGTGGTGGGAGGGAAGTTGAAGAGAAGGGGACACATGTATACTTATGGCTGATTCATGTTGTTGTATGGCAGAAACCAACACAACATTGTAAAGCCATTATCCTCCAATTAAAAAAAAAGTTAACGTAGTATGACCTTGATAGGGGAAAAAGTAAACGTTTGCCTTTAGTTTGCTTCTCTGAGCACTTGGCATTTCAAGAATTTCATTCATCTCAACATAGAAGTAACTTTTTTCTCATTCATTGTAAAAATAATGTAATAACATTTAAATTATTATAAAGTGGGAAAAATATAATTATATCACCCTACTACAAAACCATTTTTAGTTTTTCATATTCCATTTCTGGTCTTTCATAATGTAGAAATCTAACATACATATAACTTTGTATCCTGTTTTTCCAACCTAATGTAATTTAATTACTTCATAAACTTGTTTCCAAGTTGCTACATAATTTTTACAGTTAACATTTCAACACATGATATCCCATAAGCCTGACTTACCATGGTTGATGTGGTAATTCCCATAACTGTTAGATATTTAGGCTGTTTCAAATTTCTCTGAAGGTCTTTAGAAAGAGATTTTTTTTCTTTTATTCAGTTAAGTTATTTACAGAGAATACATTACTAGGATTGGGGCTAATGGGGAAAAGGAATAATTCTGTGGCTCCTGAGATCTCTAACTATGTTGAAGAATTCTTCCGGGGAAATGTCAGAGAATTTAATGGATATTGACATATAAGCCCATATTAAATGTTATTTACTGAATTTCAGCAGCATCCACAAAAATGGAACACATATGAAAGAATTTAAACATTTATAAGGGAATATATTTTTCTTCACCAAGTGCAAAATATTAAGATGCTATTTATAATATATTTTCATCATAGCTTGCAACTCACCCTTGATATAACTGATAGCATCCATCAAATCATTCAGACCAACTGTATTATTACCTGTAAGGAAAGGGAAATAAACTTCATAATCAGAGAAGCTAATGCTACTGAGATTCACACTTAGGATGCATAAAGTTCTGAAAGTATGAATTTAATCTTTTTTCTAATTTTCCTTAGAATTTTATGAACTTATCCTTAGAGATAACAGTATTATCTTAGAAATAAAGCTTGCAGTCTGTAATAAATCATTCTTGTATTTTCCTATTTGCTTTTAGAGGCTACTAGAATAAAGTTAAATTACTAAGTGATTGGTAGGACTTCCCTGGTGGCACAGTGGTTAAGAATCCAGCTGCCAGTGCAGGGGATATGGGTTCGACCCCTGGACTGGGGAGATTCCACTCGCCGTGGAACAACGAAGCCCATGTGACACAACTCCTGAGACTATGAGCCTAGAACCTGTGCTCCACAGCAAGATAAACCACTGCAATGAGAAGCCCAAGCACCACAAGGAAGGGTAGCTCCCACTTTATGCAATTAGAGAAAGCCTGCGCACGGCAGCAGACCCAGCATAGCCAACAAAAAATAAAATAAAATGAATAAAAATTTTAAAAGAAGTGTTTGGTTACAAGTAAGTGTAGGGAGACAGGACAAATAAACCTAACCCTGAGTATCTGTATTAGTTATTAATCAACAAACACTTTGCTTCCCTGGTGGCTCAGTGGAAAAGAATCTAACTGCCAATACAAGAGATGCAGGTTTGATCCCTGCACTGGGAAGATCTGGAGAAGGAAATGGCAACCCATTCCAGTATTCTTGCCTGGGAAATCCTATGGACAGAGGAACCTCAAGGGCTACAGTTCAGTCCATGGGTTCACAAAAGAGTCGGGCATGACTTGGTGACTAAACAACAAGTACTTAGGAGTACCTCTGTGTGCAAGGCACTTGGCTAGGCTTTGGGGATACAAGAGTAAACACACTGGCAGAGTTCTTGCTATTATGGAGTGTACATCTGGTAGAGGGAAACAGACAATGAGCATGTAAACAAATGAGCAGAAAGGTACTATTTTTTTGAGGTATTGTTAAGATGCTATCAAAGATGAAACAGCACAAAATAAAAAGCAAAAAAATTTAAAAAGCTAAAAAGAAAAAAGTTAAAAAAAAGATGAAACAGGGCAATATAACTAAAGTGTAATAGTGGGTGGGACTGCTTTAGACAGGGCGCTGAGGAAAGCCCTCTCTGATGTGTATCTATTTGGGTTGAGGCCTGCATGATGACGAGAGTCATGTGAAGAACTGAGAGAAGAACATTCCAAGCAGAAAAACGGTATGTGCGATAGGCCTAAAATGGGAATGAATTTGACATGATTGAGAGAGAGAGAGAAAGCCAGTGTGAAAGGTGCCAAATTATGCAGGGCCTTGTAGGCCATGATGATAAAGCTTGGATTTTATTCTGGTTGCAATGAATGTCTGGAGGCCTAGAAGAAGAGGAGTAATTTGATCTGATTTCAGCTTTCAAAGGATCACTTTAGCTGGTCTATGCAGGATGGGGAAATTGGAGGAATAAGGACTAGATAGTAGTCTGTTTTAGTGGCCCAGGAAAGAGATGATGGTGGCTAGGGCTATGGTTATGGCAGTAAAGATGGTGATAATGGATGGATTTGGGACCTATTTTTCAAGTACAGCCTAGATTTAAATGTGGAATAAGAGGGGGAAAAAGAAATGAAATCTAGTCTTTCCTCCCCTTCCCTCCAAAAAACGACAACAGGATAGACGAAATGATATTACTAAAATGGGGTGGGGGCGGGGCGGGGGGGGGGGGAGGTGGAGAGAGGGCTTGAGACTTTTTAGGGGAATTAAATAAGTCCATTAAATCTGTGGTGCCTTTTGGACATCCAAGTGGAGATACCAAATAAATAACTAGTTTGATATACCATTCCTGACTTAGGGAGGTTGCCCTGGAGATACAAATTTGCTTTTATCAGCTCAAAGACAATATGTCGCCCAATGAGACTGGAAGAAATCTCATAAAAAGAGGATGTAGATTTAAAAAAAGACAGCTAAGGGTCTAGCTCTGGAGCACTTTGTTATTCAGAGACCTTGAAGGGAGGGAATCAGAAAAGGAAACTGAGAAGAAGCTGTCAGTGAAAAAGAAGAAAATCAGATAGATATGAAGGTTTGAAAGTCTGAAATAAAAAATGTTTCAATAAAGAGGGGACAGTCACTATGTCAAAAGCTGAGATATCAAGTAAATAAGAACAGAAAACTGATCATGAAGCTTGTTAAGAGGTCACTGATGATTGAGAGTTGGTTCAACTCCCTGGCAGGGAAGCGAGCTATGGAGAGTGGATGGGAGGTTAGGAAGTAAAGATAACGAGTAATGCCAGCTTTTTGAGAGGTTCCGCTGTGAAGAGGAACTGATCTAGTAGGAGCTGGCCAGGGACAAGGCGAATAAGAGACATAGTTCCCTGTCAGTGGAATACAGAGATCCAGCAGAAAGGGAGAAACTGATGATGCAGGAGAGAAAGAGCAAAATTACAGGAATTAAGTCTTTGAAAAGGTAAGTGGAAATGAGATTCAAGGCACAAATGGAAGGGTTGGCTCACAGTGGGAGCAGAGATTCCTTTATAACAAGATGAAAGCAGGGTATGTGGGCATAGATATAGGTAGGTTCGTAGATATCAAGGAGGAGGTTATTCTTATCTAACTGAATCTTTTTTCTCTATGAAGTCTGAGATGAGGAGGTGTTGGAAATTTGAAGAGAGAAGTGGTGAAATTATCTGAGTGAGAAAAGTGAATTTAGTTGGAAAAGGTAGTAGGGACTTAGGCCTCATTAAGGACTGACTTGATATTCATGGCCAATGTGTTCAAGTGAGTTCTATTAGTGCAGTTTTGTGATTTTCTTCTGCAATGTTAAAGCTTTTCAGGAGCAAGTATAGAGTAAGGCGATGGCTGGGGTTTTGCCAAGCAAGTTTGTTAGGAGTTTTGAGAGTTTTTAAGGTTATATAATGTTGAAGTATTGAATCTAATTTAAGGAAGCAAACAAGGACATATGGGGAGGAGTTGAATAATGAAAGACTAATTGAGTTAAGGCACTGAAGGCCTACATAAGGATGGAGAGTAGCTAGAGTTGGATTTCTACATTCTGCTACACCCCATGTTCAATAGCACCAATTCTTTACATTCAATTGGTAAATGGAATAATGTCACAATAATGTGGAAGTTGTATTAGTTCATACATAATTTTTCCTAAGTAAGAGAATCAGAATTATAAACCTCAGCAGGAAAAGCAAAAAAAAGCAAAAACAAAAACAAAAAACCTGGACTGGCTATAGTAGGGGCCCTCTCAGCTTTATTTTAATAAAATTAAAAAATAAGTGCCTATAATATATGAGGAGGAATCAGGTTCACTGGCTCAGAATTCTACTTCCATCTACATTATTTCAGAGCTGCATGTCAGCTTAACTCTTTTTTGGGGTTGTGTGTATGTGTGTATTTTTGAATGGCTTCCAACTACTCTGAGCTATTTACCTGGGTTTTTCAAACTTCACACAGTATCAACTGCTGCTTTTGTTAGTGCTCTGCTTATAAACTGGCATAGATTTTGAATGGGCTTTCTCAGTTTCCCCCATAAGCTCAGCTACTTCAGTGTACTTTCACAGAATGGGAGATTTCTCCGGCATTCCTACATTGTGTTATGGTAGAACAGCTCGCATTGTAAATGAAGGATAATGGATAGACAGTGGATATATAAAATAAATATTTTCAGGGTGATGAAGTATTAGGCAAGGACAAGATTAATGTCATCAAAGGAAAAGATGATTGAAATTAAAGAGGTCAAGGAACAGCAGGTCAGGCTGTTGGATGGGTGATCTGTACCAGGAGTTCTTTTTTTAAATTTTGTTTTTTTGGTTCTTTTTGGCTGCACTCTGTGGCATGTGGGATCTTAGGTCCCTGACAGAGGTCTAACCTGTATCCCCTGAAATGAAAGCATAGACTCTAACCCACTGGACTGCAGGGAAATCCCATAACAAGAGTGTTAATCTGGGGTCCGTGGATCCTGTATGTATAGATTTTTTTCCATTCAAGCTGAAGGACTCCCTGTAAAATGCATCTTTATTTTCATTAATCACTAACTTAAATTTAGCATTTTCTTTATTTATTCATGTAGTCCACAAGCATAGTAGTAGTAGAAGAACCTGTGACTTTGTTACTATTGATAATAAATCACTACCATTTTCATATCACATGATAGTCGATGCAAATATATTGAAAAGTTACTTATGCTCTTTACTACTTTAAAATGACAATAATTATTAGACCTGGTACTAGAACTTGTTCAGTTAAGTTCAGTTCAGTTGCTTAGTTGTGTCCAACCCTTTGCGACCTCATGGACTGCAGCATGCCAGGCCTCCCTGTCCTTCACCATCTCTGGAGTTTACTCAAACTCATGTCCATTGAGTCGGTGATGCCATCCAACCATCTCATCCTCTGTCATCCCCTTCTCCCACCTTCAATCTTTCCCAACATCAGGGTCTTTTCCAATGAGTCAGTTCTTCACATCAAGGGGCCAAAGTATTGGATTTTCAGCTTCAGCCTCAGTCCTTCCAATGAATATCCAGGACTGATTTCCTTTGGGATGGACTGGTTGGGTCTCCTTGCTCTCCATGGGACTCTCAAAAGTCTTCTCCAACACCATGGTTCAAAAGCATCAATTCTTTGGCACTCAGCTTTCTTTATAGTCCCACTCTCACATCCATACATGACTACTAGAAAAACCATAGCTTTAACTAGACAAACCTTTGGTGGCAAAGTAATGTCTCTGCTTTTTAATATGCTGTCTAGGTTGGTCATAGCTTTTCTACCCAGGAGCAAGTGTCTTTTAATTTCATGGCTGCAGTTACCATCTGCAGTGATTTTGGAGCCCCCAAAATAAAGTCTGTCACTATTTCCACTGTTTCCCCATCTATTTGCCATGAAGTGATGGGATCAGATGCCATGATCTTAGTTTTCTGAATGTTGAGTTTTAAGCCAACTTTTTCACTCTCCTCTTTTACTTTCATCAAGAGGCTCTTTAGTTCTTCTTCACTTTCTGCCCTAAGCCTGGTGTCATCTGCATATCTGAAGTTATTGATATTTCTCCCGGCAATCTTGATTCCAGCTTGTGCTTCCTCCAGCCCAGTGTTTCTCATGATGTACTCTGCATATAAATTAAATAAGCAGGGTGACAATATACAGCCTTGACATACTACTTTCGTGATTTGGAATCAGTCTTTTGTTCCATGTCCAGTTCTAACTGTTGCTTCTTGACCTGCATACAGATTTCTCAGGAGGCAGGTCAGGTGGTCTGGTATTCCCATCTTTTGAAGAATTTTCCACAGTTTGTTGTGGAAAACACAGTCAAAGGCTTTGACATAGTCAATAAAGCAGAAATAGATGTTTTTCTGGAACTCTCTTGCTTTATGATCCAGCAGATGTTGGCAATTTGATCTCTGGTTCCTTTGCCTTTTCTAAAACCAGCTTAAACATCTGGAAGTTCACAGTTCACATACTGTTAAAGCCTGGCTTGAAGAATTTTGAGCATTACTTTACTAGCGTGTGAGATAAGTGCAATTGTGCAGTAGTTTGAACATTCTTTGGGATTGCCTTTCTTTGGGATTGGAATGAAAACTGACCTTTTCCAGTTCTGTGGCTACTGCTGAGTTTTCCAAATTTGCTGGCATATTGAGTGCAGCACTTTCACAGCACAATCTTTCAGGATTTGAAATAGCTCAACTGGAATTCTATCACCTCTACTAGCTTTGCTCATAGTGATGCTTCCTAAAGCCCACTTGACTTCACATTCTAGGATGACTGGCTCTAGGTGAGTGATCACACCAGAAACTGTTAAATGTATTAATAAGTACTAATACTTTATTTCACTAATGTTTTGAGAAATTGTATTTTAATATAATTAGCTTCTTGGTAATTTTATGTATTATATTTTATGCATTTAAAAATATTATTTTTCAGAAGGGGTCCAATTAATCAGACTGTGGAAGAGGTTTATGGCCTCTGATCTATATAGAGGATATTAAAGTTGCCAGGAATAAGAACAGGAGTAGTGGAGAAGGAAGCCAGTGAGCTCAGTGCTATTTCATGTAAAATGTTCTAAGTTGTATTTTTACCTTATGTATCTATATGAAGGTCATAATTTGTAACAAATATTTATTCTTTTAGGACTTATATTTATATAACAGGCAATATTGATTCATAGATCATAGAATTTCCTTTTCTTCTTCAACATTTTCTCCATCTTCCCTGTCATCTTCACCACTACCACTGTCATCATGATCAACATTTACTGAGTATTCTAGACACCAAAGTAAGACCTTTATATGCATTATCTAAATTATTTCAGGGCAAGAAATTACCATAGAAAATAATTTAATTCAACCCCTTGTTTTACATGTGAAGAAATTTAGATTCAGTAGGGTTAAACTGTCAGCAAGTTAGTGATGGAATAGGGACCAGACCTCAGCAAAAAGAAATACCATATATTACAGAAGAAGCACGTAGGCTAGATTCACCAGGGAAAAGGGATGTTTTTTTCCCCCCAAAGTACTGCCAAATGATTTTTCCAAGAGCAATGGCAACTTTCACCCAAATGTATCAGTAAGTCCCTTTCCCTTCACTCTCACCAGAACTAAATGTTTTCTCAGTCTTATTAATTTTTGCCTGAGAACTGAAAATATTTCCATGCCTTGCTTTATTTAGTATTTTCATGATTACTTGTGAGGTTAAATATCTTTTTATATGTTATTAGACTTTTAGATTTCATCTTTTACGAATATTTGCCTATTTTTCTATTGTCAGTATGTTTTAATCAATTTATGAGGGCTTTTTCTGCCTTAGGGACCTTATCATTTTCTCCTAGTTCATCATCTGACTTTTGACTTTCTTAAATGTTCCCTTATTACCATGTTCCCTTATGAGTGAAATTTAAAAATTCATTTTTCTTTAACTCGTTAAGTATGTGGTATTCCCAGGTATGGCTGAGTCCTGCGAGCAACATTCCCAACGTATTTTTTCAAAAGTGTTTTTGGAGATGATATTTCTTCACGAGTCAAGATTAAGTCTTTCTTTTTACACTTACTTCATTATGGTACTAAAAAGGCTACTTACAGCAGTTCTAATACAAGGGCTCAATGCTTCTCTGAAGAACATAAAGATGTCTGATACTCACCATCAGCTGACAGTTGGGTCATTAGTTCCTCAAGTTCCTCATCTTTGAGTCTAATTCCCATGTTTTCCACAAAAGATTCCAGTTTTTTTATTTTGACCCTTGGTGCTTTGGAAAGAAGGGCATGGAATAAAAACAAGAGTATTGACACTTAAGAGTGAAAAATGCCAATCATGATCATGCATCAGAAACCTCATTGGACAATAAAGCACAAGGGCACAAAGAAACTATTAACATATATCTCTCCCAAGATTTAGATTTGTCTGTAAGATTTAGATTTGAAAGTAAGAAAAAATTCAGAAAGGTAACCATTGAGACAAAGCTAAACAGTAAACAGTGTTTATTATTTATGGAGAGGGATTAGATCAGTGGGAAGTGGAAGACTTTCACTTTAAAAAATGAGATATAATTGGCATATAACATTAATTTCAGGTATATGATGTAATTATTCAAAATTTGGATATGTTGCAAAATGATCACCACAATAAATCTAGTTCACCTCCATCACCACATATAGTTACATAATTTTCCCCCTTGTGGTGAGAACTTTTAAGATCTACTTTCTTAGCAACTTTTAAATATAAAATAAGGTATTCTTCACCACAGTCAACATGTTGGACATTACATCCTTGGGACTTGACTTTTACTTCTTTATATAAATTTTTATAAGTGGTAGAAATAATTTTCTTGTAATTTTGTGTTAAATATTTTTCTAATTAAAAATATAATTGTTTACAGTGAATTAGTATAGAAAGTGGAAATAGGATATCTTCCTTTATGTCTATACAGGGGACTCTGTTTTGTTTTCCATGAGAGGTCATTTAGAGAGGAATAGGTAAGTCTAGGGCTTCCCTGGTACCTCAGATGGTAAAGAATCTGCCTGCTATGCAGGAGACCTGTGTTCAATCCCTGGGTTGGGAAGATCCCATGGATAAGGGAATGGCTATGCACTCCAGTATTCTTGACTGGAAAATCTGGAGGAGCCTGGTGGGCTACAGTTCAGGGGGTCAAAAGAGTCAGACGTGACTGAGCGACTTATACTTTTACTTTCGGGTAAGTCTAATGATTTGTGATTGAAATAACCACCAACTTATATGACTCTATCCAGAAAACAGTGTTAGAAACTTCCTACAGTAATATACTTTAACTTGTATCTTAAAGGGCAGTGCACCCAAAGAAGAATAGAGAGGTTATGAGTCATAACAATGGATCAATAAATTGGCAGGAAGCAAACTTGGAATATGTAAAAGAAAATGCTAAAGATTTTATTTTTACTTGTTCTTTCATCATACTTTTCACTCACCTTTCAGGGCCTTCACACTTTTTAGCAATCTATTCTTAAATACTTTTCCATCAGCTGTAATATGAAACACAATTAAGAATATAGGTTAAATGATGGAAAGATTAACAAAGACAGCACAGAGACAACATAACATCCATAATTTCAGGAGAAAAAAAACACTCCTTTCTGATTTGTTTAGAGGTTATTCTGTTTTATCCTCAAGTAAGAATGAAACCAAAGCTGAAGGAAGCTTTCACTAATATAAATCTACCTATTCATGGGAAATAGATGGGGAAACAGTGGAAAGAGTGGCTGACTTTATTTTTTGGGCTCCAAAATCACTGCAGATGGTGACTGTAGCCATGAAAGTAAAAGATGCTTACTCCTTGGAAGGAAAGTTATGACCAACCTAGACAGCATATTAAAAAAGCAGAGACATTACTTTGTCAACAAAGTTTCTGTCTAATCAAAGCTGTGGTTTTGCCTGTAGTCATGTATGGATATAAGCATTGGACCATAAAGAAAGCTGAATGCTGAAGAATTGATGCTTTTGAACTGTGGTGTTGGAGAAGACTCTTGTAAGTCCCTTGGACTGCAAGGAGATCCAACCAGTCCATCCTAAAGGAGATCAGTCCTGGATGTTCATTGGAAGGACTGATGCTGAAGCTGAAGATCCAATGCTTTGGCCACCTGATGTGAAGAGCTGACTCATTTGAAAAGACCCTGATGCTGGGAAAGATTGGGGGCAGGAGGAAACGGGACGACAGAGGATGAGATGGTTGGATGGCATCACCGACTCAATGGACATGGGTTTGGGTGGACTCCGGGAGTTGGTGACGGACAGGGAGACCTGGCATGCTGTGGTTCATGGGGTTGCAAAGAGTCAGACACGACAGAGTGACTGAACTGAACTGATCTGTTCAATTAAAAATAGTCTTGCTTCTTTGTTTCTTCCTTTTCCCTTCCTTCTGTTTCTTCTTCAACTTCCCTTTTTGACTTGGTCATGATTTAGATTAGACAGTGCTCCCAGAGAGACAGGATAATTTAGCCATTATGGTGGGAGACTAGTGAAAGATATCATCATTGACTCAACGGACCTGACTCTGAACAAACTCTGGGAGACAGTGAAGGACAGGGAAGCCTGGTGTGTTGCAGTCCATGGAGTCACAGTCAGACACGACTGAGCAACTGAACAACAAAAGATGTTGTCAATTTTTTGTATTAAAATGTAAGGAACAAGATTTCTTCTTGTGTGAGGATTGTGTTTTACAATTTAGGTTTTATTGGACAATACACATATATAATTTCACCAGTTTTCATACACAAGCCCATGACTCTAAGTTTCCCAGGCTGAGCTAAATCCTCACCATGAACTGGCAGAGTTTTCAGCAGCTCCTTCTGCTCCTCAGTAGTGAGTGCTAGCCCCATTTTCCTCATCACATTGTCCAGATCGCTGACATTAACCTTCTCTCCTTTGGAAAGACAGGAATTATTAACATGTAACAATTTTAGGACTCATTTTAGGGAAAGACTCTGATGCTGGGAAAGATTGAAAACAAAAGGAGAGGGGGCAGCAGAGAATGAGATGATTAGATAGCATTACCAGCATGAATTTGAGCAAACTGTGAGAGATAGTGGAGGACAGAGGAGCCTGGCATGCTGCAGTCTCTGGGGTTGTAAAGAGTCAGACACAACATATAGACTGTACAACAACAACAGCAATTTTAGGAATGGACTAAAGATTTCAAACTATGAAAAAGATAACCTATGTGGCATCATCTTTAATTAGATGAGAAAATTGACTATGAAATTTGTTAAACTATGTAGATTCAAAGGACATATGGGTGGGTGGATTGAGTCAGAAATAGAATTCATACTTTTAAATCAAGCAAAAGAAAAGTTTTCATAATTCCAGATATAAGTCAAAAGCCATTAAGTTTCCTGAACTATTGGGTCTTCAGACACAGTAACTGAATTTCCTAGCTACCCTACAAAAATTTACCTTGAGATTGGACACTGTTGACCTATATTTTGGGCTCCCTGGGTGGCTCAGCTGGTAAAGAATCTGCCTGCAATGCAGGAGACCTGGGTTTTTGGTTGTTTAAAACAATGGTGAAGTGTAAAACATTATTGATAAAAACATCACATAATATAGCTATATTCAGGGAAAATCCCACACCAGATTATAAAAGAAACATTTAACATTAAATTTGTAGACAGTTGATTTCAGCTCAGTTGCTCAGTCACGTCCAACTCTTTGTGACCCCATGGACTCAGCACACCGAGCTTCCCTGTCCATCACCAACTCCTGGAGCCTGCTCAAACTCATATCCATCAAGTTGGTGATGCCATCCAACCATCTCGTCCTCTGTTGTCCTGTTCTCCTCCTGCCTTCAATCTTTCCCAGCATCAGGGTCTTTTGTCAATTTAGCATGTCAATAATAGCCCAAAGAAAAAATGGCTGTTTAAAAACATCTTTTTTGAAAAAATAAAGCATTAAGGTCTTACTTAAAAATGAATTCCTTTTCCCCCTAACTGCTTACTCACCAGTGAAATTTTTTGCATCATCCATTGCCACAGCCAAATCAACCATTTGATTCTCTGTAAGAAAAGACAATTCAGGCACAGAAAAAAGCTTAGAGAAAAATTTTATAAAACATTTAAGTTGTAAGTTGTAAACAATTAAGTTGTAAGGTATTGGAATTTATCTATTTTTCATGATTTTCTTTAGTAACTCTTTTAACTCAAAATACACAAGAAACGGGAAAGATCAAAATGTTAGCATGAGCATTCATTTAATTAATATCACTTTCTGTATAGTATCAAATAATCCTTAATGTAAAGAAGCAAGTTTAATAGCAATCCCTTCTAATAGAGGGATTACTATTAAATCTATTTATATAAATAGTATAAATCTAAATCTATACTATTAAAAGAGGCCTCTCCCTTTTTTCCAACTCAATAATTAGAACATATTTCAATCAAGATAGAATCTGGAAACTTGAAGTCATTTATTTACGTAAGCATCTGACTCTTAAAGCTTAACAGCTTCCCACTTTCTAAATTTTGCTTATGTTCCCTACCACCAACCTTCAGCACTGTAAACTATATGAGAGCAGGGATCATGCCTTAATTTCCTTTATACTATGAGGTATAATTTGTCTATCATTCAGGCTTTTGTACATAGTTTGTGCTAGCTAGACAAAAGAATTTCAATGGTGCAGAAATAGTCACACTTTTGGATTAGAAAAAAATTTTGTCTGTTATTGAATCAAGGATCCTAAAAACAGTTTATTGGTAATAATATCTTTTCTGGTAGGAATCATCTTGAGGACTCCTAGCTAATATGTAGGGACCATGACTACCAGCATTATTAAACCCAGGGAGAGTGAAGTTTTAAATTACAAACTAGGCTAAAACTGTTTCCTCTGTTGAGGTCAGAAGCTAGGCTAAAACTGTTTTCTATGTTAAGGCCAGATAGAGGTAAGGGTAACATAGAAGATGTTTCCTGATAGCAGCAGCCTAACTTAGCTATACCTGCCAAGCCCTAGCTGAGAACAGAACACTGAAGGAAGAAGAGCAATTTGTTCAACTTTGATTGGCATGTACTGGCTCTGCTGAAAGATGTGCTATCTAGCTTTCTTACAGAAACTTGCTTTTTATTAGTTTTATTTATTTATTTTTTAATTCAAAGCCACTGACTTTGTTAGACTCTAATAAGGGAATCTTAGACTGGGGCTCATCCCTCAGCAATTTCTTCCTAATGAATTACCCTAACTTTGCCTTTTTGACACTTTTTTTTAAAAAATTAATTAATTTATTTATTTATTTTTTTATCACAACCATAGTGTATCTTTTTTTTTTTTTTTTACATGTATTCCCCATCCCGGTCCCCCCTCCCTCCTCCCTCTCCACCCGATCCCTCTGGGTCTTCCCAGTGCACCAGGCCCGAGCACTTGTCTCATGCACCCAACCTGGGCTGGTGAACTGTTTCACCCTAGATAATATACGTGTTTCAATGCTGTTCTCTTGAAACATCCCACCCTCGCCTTCTCCCAGAGTCCACAAGTCTGTTCTATACATAGGAGTCTCTTTTTCTGTTTTGCACATAGGGTTATCGTTACCATCTTTCTAAATTCCATATATATGTGTTAGTATACTGTAATGGTCTTTATCTTTCTGGCTTACTTCGCTCTGTATAATGGGCTCCAGTTTCATCCATCTCATTAGAACTGATTCAAATGAATTCTTTTTAATGGCTGAGTAATATTCCATGGTGTATATGTACCACAGCTTCCTCATCCATTCATCTGCTGATGGGCATCTAGGTTGCTTCCATGTCCTGGCTATTATAAACAGTGCTGCGATGAACATTGGGGTGCACGTGTCTCTTTCAGATCTGGTTTCCTCGGTGTGTATGCCCAGAAGTGGGATTGCTGGGTCATATGGCAGTTCTATTTCCAGCTTTTTAAGAAATCTCCACACTGTTTTCCATAGTGGCTGTACTAATTTGCATTCCCACCAACAGTGTAAGAGGGTTCCCTTTTCTCCACACCCTCTCCAGCATTTATTGCTTGTAGACTTTTGGATAGCAGCCATCCTGACTGGTGTGTAATGGTACCTCATTGTGGTTTTGATTTGCATTTCTCTGATAATGAGTGATGTTGAGCATCTTTTCATGTGTTTGTTAGCCATCTGTATGTCTTCCTTGGAGAAATGTCTGTTCAGTTCTTTGGCCCATTTTTTGATTGGGTCATTTATTTTTCTGGAGTTGAGCTGGAGGAGTTGCTTGTATATTTTTGAGATTAATCCTTTGTCTGTTGCTTCGTTTGCTATTATTTTCTCCCAATCTGAGGGCAGTCTTTTCACCTTGCTTATAGTTTCCTTTGTTGTGCAAAAGCTTTTAAGTTTCATTAGGTCCCATTTGTTTATTTTTGCTTTTATTTCTAAAATTCTGGGATGTGGGTCATAGAGGATCCTGCTGTGATTTATGTCGGAGAGTGTTTTGCCTATGTTCTCCTCTAGGAGTTTTATAGTTTCTGGTCTTACATTTAGATCTTTAATCCATTTTGAGTTTATTTTTGTGTATGGTGTTAGAAAGTGTTCTAGTTTCATTCTTTTACAGGTGGTTGACCAGTTTTCCCAGCACCACTTGTTAAAGAGGTTGTCTTTTTTCCATTGTATATCCTTGCCTCCTTTGTCAAAGATAAGGTGACCATAGGTTCGTGGATTTATCTCTGGGCTTTCTATTCTGTTCCATTGATCTATATTTCTGTCTTTGTGCCAGTACCATACTGTCTTGATGACTGTGGCTTTGTAGTATAGTCTGAAGTCAGGCAGATTGATTCCTCCAGTTCCATTCTTCTTTCTCAGGATTACTTTGGCTATTCGAGGTTTTTTGTATTTCCATACAAATTGTGAAATTATTTGTTCTAGTTCTGTGAAAAATACCGTTGGTAGTTTGATAGGGATTGCATTGAATCTGTAGATTGCTTTGGGTAGTATAGCCATTTTGACAATATTGATTCTTCCAATCCATGAACACGGTATATTTCTCCATCTGTTTGTGTCCTCTTTGATTTCTTTCATCAGTGTTTTATAGTTTTCTATGTATAGGTCTTTTGTTTCTTTAGGTAGATATACTCCTAAGTATTTTATTCTTTTTGTTGCAATGGTGAATGGTATTGTTTCCTTAATTTCTCTTTCTGTTTTCTCATTGTTAGTGTATAGGAATGCAAGAGATTTCTGTGTGTTAATTTTATATCCTGCAACTTTACTGTATTCGTTGATTATCTCTAGTAATTTTCTGGTAGAGTCTTTAGGATTTTCTATGTAGAGGATCATGTCATCTGCAAACAGCGAAAGTTTCACTTCTTCTTTTCCTATCTGGATTCCTTTTACTTCTTTTTCTGCTCTGATTGCTGTGGCCAAAACTTCCAAAACTATGTTGAATAGTAGTGGTGAGAGTGGGCACCCTTGTCTTGTTCCTGATTTCAGGGGAAATGCTTTCAGTTTTTCACCATTGAGGGTGATGCTTGCTGTGGGTTTGTCATATATAGCTTTTATTATGTTGAGGTATGTTCCTTCTATTCCTGCTTTCTGGAGAGTTTTAATCATAAATGGATGTTGAATTTTATCAAAGGCTTTTTCTGCATCTATTGAGATAATCATATGGTTTTTATCTTTCAATTTGTTAATGTGGTGTATTACATTGATTGATTTGCGGATATTAAAGAATCCTTGCATTCCTGGGATAAAGCCCACTTGGTCATGATGTATGATTTTTTTAATATGTTGTTGGATTCTGTTTGCTAGAATTTTGTTAAGGATTTTTGCATCTATGTTCATCAGTGATATTGGCCTGTAGTTTTCTTTTTTTGTGGCATCTTTGTCTGGTTTTGGAATTAGGGTGATGGTGGCCTCATAGAATGAGTTTGGAAGTTTACCTTCTTCTGCAATTTTCTGGAAGAGTTAAGATAGGTGTTAGCTCTTCTCTAAATTTTTGGTAGAATTCAGCTGTGAAGCCATCTGGTCCTGGGCTTTTGTTTGCTGGAAGGTTTCTGATTACAGTTTCGATTTCCTTGCTTGTGATGGGTTTGTTAAGATCTTCTATTTCTTCCTGGTTCAGTTTTGGAAAGTTATATTTCTCTAAGAACTTGTCCATTTCTTCCAAGTTGTCCATTTTATTGGCATAGAGCTGCTGGTAGTAGTCTCTTATGATCCTTTGTATTTCAGTGTTGTCTGTTGTGATCTCTCCATTTTCGTTTCTAATTTTGTTAATTTGGTTCTTCTCCCTTTGTTTCTTAATGAGTCTTGCTAATGGTTTGTCAATTTTGTTTATTTTTTCAAAAAACCAGCTTTTAGCTTTGTTAATTTTTACTATGATCTCTTTAGTTTCTTTTGCATTTATTTCTGCCCTGATTTTTAAGATTTCTTTCCTTCTACTAACCCTGGGGTTCTTCATTTCTTCCTCCTCTAGTTGCTTTAGGTGTAGAGTTAGGTTATTTATTTGACTTTTTTCTTGTTTCTTGAGGTAGGCCTGTAATGCTATGAATCTTCCCCTTAGCACTGCCTTTACAGTGTCCCACAGGTTTTGGGTTGTTGTGTTTTCATTTTCATTCATTTCTATGCATATTTTGATTTCTTTTTTGATTTCTTCTATGATTTGTTGGTTATTCAGAAGCGTGTTGTTTAGCCTCCATATGTTTGAATTTTTAATAATTTGTTTCCTGTAATTAAGATCTAATCTTACTGCACTGTGGTCAGAAAAGATGACTGGAATGATTTCAATCTTTTTGAATTTACCAAGACTAGATTTATGGCCCAGGATGTGATCTATTCTGGAGAAGGTTCCGTGTGCACTTGAGAAAAAGGTGAAGTTGATTGTTTTGGGGTGAAACGTCCTATAGATGTCAATTAGGTCTAGCTGCTCCATTGTGTCCTTTAAAGTTTGTGCTTCTTTGTTCATTTTCTGTTTAGTTGATCTATCCATAGTTGTGAGTGGGGTATTAAAGTCTCCTACTATTATTGTGTTACTATTAATTTCCTCTTTCATACTCGTTAGCGTTTGCCTTACATATTGCGGTGCTCCTATGTTGGGTGCATATATATTTATAATTGTTATATCTTCTTCTTGGATTGATCCTTTGATCACTATGTAGTGACCATCTTTGTCTCTTTTCACAGCCTTTATTTGAAAGTCTATTTTATCTGATATGAGTATTGCGACTCCTGCTTTCTTTTGGTCTCCGTTTACATGGAATATTTTTTTCCAGCCCTTCACTTTTAGTCTGTATGTGTCCCTTGCTTTGAGGTGGGTCTCTTGTAGACAGCATATATAGGGGTCTTGCTTTTTTATCCATTCAGCCAGCCTTTGTCTTTTGGTTGGGGCATTCAACCCATTTACATTTAAGGTAATTATTGATAGGTATGGTCCCGTTGCCATTTATTTTGTTGTTTGGGGTTCACGTTTATACCACCTTTCTGTGTTTCCTGTCTAGAGAAGATCCTTTAATATTTGTTGAAGAGCTGGTTTGGTGGTGCTGAATTCTCTCAGCTTTTGCTTGTCTGTAAAGCTTTTGAGTTCTCCTTCATATCTGAATGAGATCCTTGCTGGGTAGAGTAATCTAGGTTGTAGGTTATTCTCTTTCATTACTTTAAGTATGTCCTGCCATTCCCTTCTGGCCTGAAGGGTTTCTATTGATAGATCGGCTGTTATCCTTATGGGAATCCCTTTGTGTGTTATTTGTTGTTTCTCCCTTGCTGCTTTTAATATTTGTTCTTTGTGTTTGATCTTTGTTAATTTGATTAATATGTGTCTTGGGGTGTTTCGCCTTGGGTTTATCCTGTTTGGGACTCTCTGGGTTTCTTGGACTTGGGTGGCTATTTCCTTCCCCATTTTAGGGAAGTTTTCAGCTATTATCTCCTTGAGTATCTTCTCATGGTCTTTCTTTTTGTCTTCTTCTTCTGGGACTCCTATGATTCGAATGTTGGGGCGTTTCACATTGTCCCAGAGGTCCCTGAGGTTGTCCTCATTTCTTTTGATTCTTTTTTCTTTTTTCCTCTCTGCTTCATTTATTTCCACCATTTTATCTTCTAACTCACTTATCCTATCTTCTGTCTCTGTTATTCTACTCATGGTTCCCTCCAGAGTGTTTTTGATCTCATTTATTTCATTATTAATTTTTAATTGACTTTTTTTTATTTCTTCTAGGTCCTTGTTAAACATTTCTTGCATCTTCTCAATCTTTGTCTCCAGGCTATTTATTTGTAACTCCATTTTGTTTTCAAGATTTTGGATCATTTTTATTATCATTATTCTAAATTCTTTTTCAGGTAGATTCCCTATTTCCTCCTCTTTTGTTTGACTTGGTGGGCTTTTTTCATGTTCCTTTAGCTGTTGGGTATTTCTCTGCCTTTTCATCTTGTTTAGATTGCTGTGTCTGGAGTGGGCTTTCTGTATTCTTGTGGTCTGAGGTTCCTTTTTATTGTGGAGGTTTCACCCAGTGGGTGGGGTTGGACAATTGGTTTGTCAAGGTTTCCTGGTTAGGGAAGCTTGTGTCAGCGTTCTGGTGCGTGGAATTGGATTTCTTCTCTCTGGAGTGCAATGGAGTGTCCAGTAATGAGTTTTACGATGGATCTATGTGTTAGGTGTGACTTTGGAGAGCCTGTATGTTGACACTCAGGTCTATGTTTCTGCGTTGCTAAAGAATTTGCGTGGTATGTCTTGTACTGGAGCTTATTGGCTCTTGGGTGGTGGTTGGTTTTGGTGTAGGTATGGAAGCTTTTGGATGGTCTCTTATTCCTTAATGTTCCGTGTAGTCAGGAGTTTTCTGGTTTTCTCAAGATTTGGGCTTAAGTCTCCTGCCTCTGGATTTCAGTTTTGTTCTTCCAATAGTCTCAAGACTTCTCCAACTATACAGCACTGATAATAAAACTTCTAGGTTAATGGTGAAAAGATTCTCCACCGTGAGAGACAACCAGAGAGGTTCACAGAGTTACATGAAGAATAGGAGAGGGAGGAAGGAGATAGAGGTGATCAGGAGGAGAAAAAGGGGACTCAAGAGGAGAGAGACAGATCTACGCAGTTATCTGTTCCCAAAGTGTTCTCCGTAGCCCAGACACCCACAAAGATTCACAGAGTTGGATTGGGAAGAGAAGGGGAAAGGAGGAAATAGGGGTGTTCCGAGGTAGAAAACAGAGAGTCAAAAGTGGGAGAGTAATCACCACACTCCTGAATAGAAATGGGAACTGAATATTGGATTCTTAAATGACCAAAATTTATATCACCTACTACTGAAAAACAAAGATTAAAAATCTAGTGTAGAGGTTAGACTCTTTGAAATACAATATTTAAAAACAAACAAACAAACAAAAATTTAGAAATGTATATGAAGTTTGATTTAAAAATAGGGCTTCTCTCTCTCTTTTTTTTTTTTTGGCAAGGTTATAGTGAAATGAAAATGAAAATTAAGGAATAATAGAGGAGTATTAGAGGACTTTAAAATAGGAGAGAAAAACAAGAAAAAGAAAAAAAAGAAAAAAAAATTTTTTTTTTCCCTAATTAAAAAAATCGTAAAAATATATGAAAATGAAAGTTGAGGAGTAATGGGGGAGTAATAGGGAATTTTAAAAGAAAATAAAAGAGAAAAAATTAAAAAAAAAAAAAAGATAGAAAAAAAAATTTTTTTTTAAATTAAAAAAAAAAAAATATATATATATATCTAGGAATTTCTCTGGAGTTGTTGCAGTCAGCGTAGGTTCAGTTCAATTTCAGATAGCTCCTCTTTCCAGCTTACACTTCTCGATATCTGTAGGCCCCTTCTGGTGTAGTCGGTGTTACCTTCAGGGATTTTAGTCTGTTGCACCAGTCCTTTCTGAAGCGGTTCCCTTTGTTTATTTGGCTTCTGTTTGCCGTCTCTTCGGTGTCTAATTTCCGCCCTGACACAGGCGGGTGGAGGTGGTCTCTTATTTAGGTTCTCTAGTTCAGTTCAGTCCTGCTACGGGGAGGGCGGGGCGCTGCAGACAGATACCGCTCTGTGTGGCTAGCACTCACCGTGTTCCGTCCACACTGGGTTTGCCCCGCTCACGGGTGTCAGTGCTTTTGCCGTCTACACTGCTCAGGCTCCCGGCTGCTCCATATGGAGCGGGCCCTGCGTTGAGTGCGGCTCCAGTTTTCGGGTACTCCACAAAAGCGCAGATTCGGTTGCGCCTGCGTTTTGTGCCTTCCCGGGCCTGAGCGGTTCAGGCAGCCAGAGGCTTGGGCGTACTCTCCCTGGGTGTGGCGCGCCTTTTCCCTCCGCGGCGAGCGGCTCAGGCAGCCAGAGGCTTGGGCGCACTCTCTCCCCGGATGTGGCGCCTTTTCCCTCCGCGGCGGGCAGCTCAGGCAGCCAGAGGCTTGGGCGCACTCTCCCCGGAGGTGGCGCGCCTTTTCCCTCCGCGGCGAGCGGCCCAGGCAGCCAGAGGCTTGGGCGCAATCTCCCCGGGTGCGGCGCGCTTTTTCCCTCCGCGGCCCCAGCGCACGCCGCCAGTCGGGTCTCAGGAAGTCTTTAGATAGGAACCGGGGGCCTGTTTGCAGTGGGGGAGGGGGTGGCTTCTCAGGGGCTGAGTTTGCCCTTTTCCCTACCCCCTGCCTCCAACCTCCAGCGGGGATGGGCCGGCTCTTCTCTGGACTTTCTCAGTCCCTTTGTTTTGCGAACCGCCGGCAGTGTGTTCGGGCCCTAAGCAACGCCGCCCGCTCCTCTCCGTCCCGCCCCCGCTTGTTGCTGGAGGGTACGGGCGTCTGGGGTACTTTTCTGCTGGGAGTTGCTTTTAGGCACGTAATCTGTGGGCCTTGTTTAATTTTTCCTCCCAGTTAGATTGCCGAAAACTTCCCCCAGTCCCGCCAGTGCGAGGGTTTCCTGGTGATTGGAAACTTCCTCTATTAAGACTCCCTTCCCGGGACGGGTCTCCGTTCGTAGCTCTTTTGACTCCCTTTTTATCTTTTATATTTTGTCCTACCTCCCTTCGAAGACAATGGGCTGCTTTTCTGGGTGCCTGATGTCCTCTGCTAGCGATCAGAAGTTGTTTTGTGCAATTTGCTCAGCATTCAAATGGTCTTTCGATGAATTTGTAGGAGAGAAAGTGGTCTCCCTGTCCTATTCCTCCGCCATCTTGGCTCCTCCCTCTTTTTGACACTTTTATCAAGGTTAATTGGACTTATTGGGTCATTAATTAAACTTTATCTTACTTAAGAAAAGGTATACGTGGGAGGGAGAGAATGAGGAAAGGAAGGTGCATGCAAAATGATAACATCTGTTAACTTTAGCCTGTATTTGTTATATTGGTCTCTATTTTTATATATGTTTGAAATATTTCATAAGTTTTCAAAAGAGATTAAAAAAGAGGTTTACTTTCAGAAGCTTTTATGTAGGAACCCTAAGGTTCCCCCTAGGTACAGTGGTATCTGAAACACTTACCATCAACCGGCAGATGGGTCAGAAAATCTTCATAGTCCTCTTTCTCAGGCTGAATTCCCATGTTCTTCATTAGAGTGTCCAGTTTATTGACACTGATTTTTTTCCCTTAGGAAAGAAGAGGATGTACATAAGAAATACAAGCAAGTCCAAGAAGTGGGAGATTATGTCTTTAAGTGGATTCTATCTTTGAGTTTCACCCTAAGTGGAGGGTGAAACACTGGCCATTTAAGTGAACCCAGAGAGTTAGTATTGGAGTCAAGAAGAGAAAATGTTCTCTTAACACTGTGCTGTATATTTTAATTGAAGTAATCATGGGTGAAAAAGAAGAATTAGATAAACATATGAACTGTGATAAAGACAACGAACCTAATGAAATAAATATTTCAAACTTGCTACATGTTACTAACAATGAGTTCTTCAAATGTACTTATACCCAAAGAAGAATAGTAGGTTACCAGGACTAAATTCAGTATCAGTACATTAGTGGAACATTGAAAGAGCAAAATTCTAATCAGACATTTTAAAAAGCAGATGCAAAACACAATAAATTTTAGATGCTATTCTCATGATTCTTACCTTTGAGAGGTTTCACACTACTCAGTAATCTTTTCTTATATACCTTTCCATCTCCTGAAAGATATGGTAAAACTCAAGTCAAAAGAAAAAGGACAAGCTCTTGTCATTTTATAAGAATTTTACACAAGTCACCTAAAAAATTATTCTATTTCACTTTCAAATTATAACAAAAGGTAAGGACTGTTTTCAATCTATCCTTTATGTGGAACACACAGCAGTAGTTGATGCAGGTCACACACACACAGACACACACACACAAGATTCTTTCTTCTCATTCTTCTCTTCTTTAATGGCTCTTTGACTCCTCTGCCTTTTTCTTTTTTCCTTGCCTATGCTCTAGGCCCAGGACGTATTCCTATAAGTATATGTTTAGATCTAATGACAGATCCTAAAAAGGGATGACATTAAAGACAGGTAGCAACCCAAGCAGTAACATAAAACAATACTGAAAAGAAAAAAAAATTGCTCTCTAAACAAAATCTTTTCATAAATGGAGGTGAAATTCAACAGAGGCAGAGAACAAGGTACAGCTACCAGCCTAACTCATCCCCACAAGTGTTATCTGCCTCTGGGGAGAGGCCTCCATTCTATGGCAGGAGTGTCTGCAGAGTGGACAGAACCCTCAGTACCTGGCATACGCAGGCAGTCATCTCCATTACAGTCCATTTGCTTCTTTCTGCATCTCTATCCTGCTTTCTTGGAGCCAATATCCTAAGAATGTTGCATTTCTCACAACTGGCCCCGTGAGAGCAGTTGGGCGGGGGGATGCTAGTGAGTAGTCATAGCCTCAGGTGTATGTGGGGCGGATTCACAGGAGGCATTGAGCATTTGCTGCCCAGGATGCCAATTCTGCCATAAGGTCACTAACTTCCTTAGTGATGTGTAGGCTCTCTCACAGGGACAGACTTTATTTTCTTGGGCTCCAAAATCACTGCAGATGGTGATTGCAGCCATGAAACTAAAAGATGCCTGCTTCTTGTAAGAAAAGCTATGACAAACCTAGATAGCATATTAAAAAGCAGAGACATTACTTTGCCAATAAAGGTCTGTCTAGTCAAAGATATGGTTTTTTCCAGTAGTCACGTATGGATGTGAGCATTGGAACATAAAGAAAGCTGAGGGCCTAAGAATTGATGCTTTTGAACTGTGGTGTTGGAGAAGACTCTTGAGAGTCCCTTGGACTGCAAGGAGATCCAACCAGTCCATCCTAAAGGAAATCAGTCCTGAATATTCATTGGAAGGACTGATGCTGAAGCTGAAGATCCAATACTTTGGCCACCTGATGTGAAGAACTGACTCATTAGAAAAGACCCTGAAGCTGGGAAAGATTGAAGGCAAGAGGAGAAGGGTACAACAGAGGATGATGGTTGGATGGCATCACCAACTCGATGGACATAAGTCTGAGTAAGCTCTGGGAGTTGATGATGGTCAGGGAAGCCTGGTGTGCTACAGTCCATGGGGTCACAAAGAGTCAGACATGATTGAGTGACTGAACTGAACTGAGGCTCTCTCTTGCCTGGGAAACAATGGGGGATGGGAACTATGGGGCAGGGGAAGAATGTCTATATGTTGAGGTCTCAAATTAGGCCGGAGGTACAGTTGAAGCACAGGCTGGCCTCTAGGGTCTCTGTGGGTGAGTCTACGCAGGTGTCCAGGAGGTGAAACTTTTGAGGAACAAAGTCACTGGGATACTGACCAATCAGAACAGGTGTTGACAATATAAGCACACGGTCCACAAGGTTCCCTGGCTGTTACATGTTTACAGTTTAGCTGCTGGACTGTGGGAGAGATACTGGGGGAGGAACTGAGGATGTGGGGTGCATTTTCAGAGGCCTAAGAATTTAGCCATGTAGCTATTAAAATAAAAAAATATTTAACCACTGGCTGAATAGAAAAGAGAGAAGTCTCTCACTTCCAAACGAAAACACAAGTGACAATAACAGTTTCTTATGTCTGATCTGCATTTTTCTTAGGGGGTTTCTCAGGGCACTGGACAATTCTCACCCCAAAGCCCACAATATCACATTTCTCTGAGCACCATGATGGGATGTTAACTACTCACTAGAGATTGGCAGAGTTTTTGACAGCAGAAACTGTTCTTTTTCAGTGAGCTCGAGTCCCATGCTTCCCAGCACAGTTTTAAAGTCACTGGCTTCTACCCTGTCTCCTTTGAATAGACGGGAATTGTTTCAGGTGATAATATTAAGAGGTCTAATTATTCTAAATTATAAAAAAATAATCCAGTACAACCTTACTTTTAACTGCAGGATGAAGTTTAAATACATGAGCTGACTTCACTTACACAGAGTTATTGTGAAATCTATTACTTGAAAAGGCTTTTTAAATTCAAATAAGAAGATAGATAACATTTCTATCCTGTGCATGGGTCAATCTGGCATAGAGTAACACAGAGGCACAATGACTCGTGATGGTAAGTAGAGTCTACAGGCAAGTAATATCTCTATTACTGCTTCTTAACCTGAATTATGGAACTGACTGTTTCCTGATGCAAAAACTTCACATTAAGATTCATTGTGTTCACCTATATTTTGATTTTTTTTAAACACTAGGGAAATGAGAGCACATTACTGGCCAAAACACTGGACAAGTTAATATTCCTTATGGAGAGTGCCCACACTTTCTCTAAATCTCTAATAATCTAAACTAGTGTCAATAAGTCAAACTTATCAATAAACAGATAAAAGAGCAGAGTGGACTAATGACTGGACAGAGTAAACTATTGCTGTTAAGTAAGTAATTCTCTATAAAACATCAAGATCTCAATTTTATAACATCTGATACCAATTCTTACTCACCTGTAAAAGTGTTTGCTGCATCCATCAACACATCCAAGCCAACCTTTTCATCTTCTGTAAGAAATTCAGAATTTAGATTCAGGTATGTGTGCTAAGTGGCTCAGTGGTAAAGAATCCACCTGCCAATTCAGGAGACACAGGTTTGATCCCTGGGTTGGAAGATCCCTGGAGAAGGCAATGGCAACCCACTCCAGTATTCTTGCCTGGGAAATCCCATGGACAGAGGAGCCTGGTGGGCTATAGTCCATGGGGTCACAAAAGAGTTGGACAGGACTTAGAGACTAAACAACAATAATAACAAAGATAATAAGGTATCTTTAACAAAGATAATTGAAAAATTAAATACACAAGTCTTTTCAATAAGTAGTTTGGGAAATCTGAAACTTTTTTTTTTAATATTTATTTATTTGTTTATTCATTTGACTGCCTCGAGTCTTAGCTGTGGTATGTGGGACCTACTTCCCTGACCAGGGATTGAACCCTGGCCCCCTGCACTGGGAGCACAGAATCAGCCACTGGACCACCAGGGAAGTCCCCTGAAACATTTTCTTAAACCACATACCAAGATAAATTCAAAATGGATTAAAGACTTAACTGTAAGGCCTGAAACTGTAAAACTCCTAGAAAAAAACATAGGCAGTAAGCTCTTCAACACTGGACTTAGAAATATATATATTTTTTGGATGTGTCTCCTAGGCAAGGGAAACAAAAGCAAACATATTCAAATGGAATTACATTAAACTAAAATGCTTTTGTACATAAAAAGAAACCATCAACAAAATGAGAAGGCAACCTACTGAATGGGAGAAGATATCTGCAAATATATATCTAGTAAGAGGTTAATGTATCTATTAATAATAAATACCTTGCACAGAAATAGTATAAACAGTTGCCAAGTAAATAAAGCAATACAACACAATGCTGGCATATTGTTGGCACTCAATAAATGTTTGCTGAATGAATTAATTAAAGAAAGAAATGTATTTAAAACTGATGACCTTCATCCTTGAACAATGAAATCTTACTCTCGTAAAAGATCTTTCTAGTCCTTGGGGTTCCATGCTATTACAAAGGAAACTTGAAACCAGCCCTCATGCCAGACAAGATTCTCCAATGAAGAAAGAAGAGACTATTCCCCTCCTTTTCTTCAGTCTGAGTCCCTTCATCTTAGCCCTGATTCCATCCCAGTTATGCTATTTAACAAAAAAAGGTCAGTCTATATTCTTGTGTATGTATCTTTATATTATCTTTTCCTAATTCTTTCTTTTTACCTTTCCTTTATCTTTCTTCCTTATCTTACTCAGTTGGCTGATACCTTGTATCTAAATTTCCTGTAATTACTTCAATTATGTCCTAAAAAGGATTTTTCTCTCTGTTCTGTTTCCCCCCCACTCCATTTTTTGTTCTGAGGCAATCCCATGATCCACAGTCCTCTGATTCACACTTTTATTCTCTACCTCCCTTTCACCTACCACATCAGATCAGTCTTCCCAATATATTACCAATGTGGCTCCCTAAATAAGACCCTTATTATCTGGATTTTTATAAGGCTGTATCATCTGGATTTCAGCAACAGCCTCTACATTGTACCTCTCCTTTCAGTTTTCTCTTCTGAACATGTCTTTCCTCACAGCTTTCAGAATGAGCTGAGTTATCGTCTACAAGATAAAGGCATCCTAAAGGCTCACCAATAATTGGTAGGTGGGTTTGCAAGTCCTGGATTTCCTTTGCGTCAAGGTTGAATCCAGTGTTTTGTAGAACATTACTTAGGTCACTGACAGTAACCTTGCCTCCTTAATAAAAACAAGAGAAAATAGAAAAAATGTCACGAAATAAAAAATTCAGACTGTCAACACTTACCTAGAAATAAAAGCACAAAAGAGCTTTACAGCAAGTTGTGTGGAATCAGAAACAAAATATGATCCCAAAATTAATTGGGAGAAGTTTATATTGGGGAGAAAAAAGTAAAGAAAAAGTTTGGCAACTCTGGTAAATTAGACAACAACCGAATCATGTCCTTCTGGTCAAAAAGTAAGATCTGAAACTTCCTACAGTAACAATAAATTAGCTTCTTAATATAATTTATACTACAGAAAAACTAGTTAATGAGGCAGACTTGCTAAATACAAAATGACAAGAAGAAATCACAGAAGGAATGACTGATATAAACACATAAAAATGAAAAAGTCTGTATACTGAAGTACAACATAGTGGACACAAAGTAAGTTGGTGGCTGCCTAGGTCTGTGAGAGTTACAGGGAATGAGGAGTGACTGCTAATTAGTGCAGTTTCTTTTTGGTGATGAAAATGTTCTAAATTGATTGTAGTGATGGTTGCACAACTCTATTACTATACTAAAAAGCATTGAATTGTACATTTTAAATGGCTGAATTACAAGGTGTATAAATTATATTTTAATAAAACGTTGTTAAAAAATACAACATTAATAAAATAAAAATGCAAACAACCAAATGGAAAAATATTTTCTATAGACATGACAATGTGCTAATATCCTTATAAAGAAGTCATTGAAATTAATAGGCAAAATGCAAAGATGCCATAGGATAATGGACAAGATGTCAAATAATTAAAAGACTGAAAGATATAATGATATAAACTATTTTCAACTTCACCAATAAAAAAAATACAGACTCCATTTCTCATCTGTCAAATTAGCAAGGCTCAAAAAATGTGAAACAATATATAGTGGCCACAACATAACAGTAATGGGTACTCTTACCCATTTATATAAATCAAAGAGTTAAGATCCTTTGACCTAGTAATTCTAGTTGGAAAACTCTATCTAAAAATGATTTTAAAGTTGAATAAATATTTATGTATAAAGGACACATATGTATAATAGCAAAGCATTACAGACTACCTAAATGTTCAATAAGAAAAGAAAAATCAAACCAGCTTTACAACAAATGTTAAAGAGACTTATATAGTCAATAAATACAAGAGAAGAAAAAATATCTACAAAATCAACCCCAAACAATTAAAATGGCAATAGGAACATATATATCAATAATTATTTTAAATGTAAATGGATTAAATGTTCCAACCAAAAGACACAGGCTGGTTGAATGGATACAAAAACAAGACCATATCTATGCTATCTACATAAAACCCATTTCAGACCTAAAGACACATATAGACTGAATATGAGAGGATGGAAAAATATATTCCATGCAAATTGGAAGCAAAAGAAAGCTGGAGTAGGAATCTTCATATCAGAAAAAAAAAGACCTTAAAGTAAAGAAGATTACAAGAGATAAGGAAGGACACTACATAATGATCAAGGGATCAATCTAGGAGGAAAACATAACAACTGTAAATATCTATGCACCCAACATAGGAGCACCTCAATACATAAGACGAACACTAACAGACATAAAGGAGAAACTGACAGTAACACAATAATAGTAGGAGACTTTAACACCCCACTCACACCAATGAACATCATCAAAACAGAAAATTAATAAGGAAACACAAGTCTTAAATGATACATTAGATGAGATGGATCTCATTTTTATCTTCAGGACATTCCATCCAAATACAGAAGAATACACGTTCTTCTCAAGTGCACATGAAACATTCTCCAGGATAGACCACATCCTGGGTCACAAATCAAACCTCAGTAAATTTAAGAAAACTGAAATCATATCAAGCATCTTCTCTGACCACAGCGCTATGAGACTAGATATCAATTACAAGAAAAAAACTATAAGAAACAGAAATACATGGAGATTAAACAACACATTTCTAAATAGCCAACAGGTTACTAAAGAAATCAAAAGGAAAAAAAAATTCTAGAAACAAATGACAATGAAAACACGACAACTCAAAACTACAGGATGCAGCAAAATCAGTTCTAAGAGGGAAATTTATAGCAATACAGTCCTACCTCAAGAAACAAGAAAAACATCAAATAGACAACCTAACTTTACACCTAAAACAACTGGAAAACGAAGAACAAAAAACCTCCAAAATTAGTAGAAGGAAAGAAATCATAAAGATCCAAGCAGAAATAAATGAAAAAGAAATGAAAGAAACAATAGTAAAGATTACTAAAACTAAAAACTGGTTATTTGAGAATATAAACAAAATTGACAAGCCTTTATGCTCATCAAGAAAAAAAGAGAGAAGAATTCAATCAACAAAATTAGACCTGAAAAAGGAGAGGTTACAACAGACAATGCAGAAATACAAAGGATTATAAGAGACTATTATGAAAACTATATGGCAAAAAAAATGGATAACCTGGAAGAAAGGGACAGATTGCTAGAAAAGTTCAATCTTCCAAGATTGAACCAGGAAGAAATAGAAATTATGAGCAACCCAATTACAAGCACTGAAATTGAAGCTGGGATCAAAAAATCTACCAAAAACCAAAAGCCCAAGACCAGAGGGCTCCACAGGAGAACTCTATCAAACATTAGAGAAGAGCCAATGCCTATCCTTCTAAAACTCTTTCAAAAAATTGCAGAGGAAGGAACACTTCCAAAGTCATTGTATGCAACCACCATCACCCTGATACCAAAGCCAGACAAAGACAACACAAAAAAAGAAAACGATAGGCCTCTATTATTGATGAACATAGATGCAAAAATCCTCAACAAAATTTTAACAAACAGAATTCAGCAATACATCAAAAAGCTCACACACCATGATCAAGTTGGGTTTATTCCAGGGATGAAAGGATTCTTCAATATATGCAAATCAATCAATGTGATACACCATATTAACAAATTAAAAGATAAAAACCATATGATCATCTCAATAGATGCAGAAAAAGCCTTTGACAAAATTCAGCATCCATTAATGATCAAAGCTCTTCAAAGAATGGGCATAGAAGGAACCTACCTCAACATAGTAAAGGCCATATATGATAAACCTAGAGCAAACATTATTCTCAATGGTTAAAAACTGAAAGCATTCCCCCTAAGATCAGGAACAAGACAGGGGTGCCCCCTTTCACCACTGTTATTCAACATAGTTCTGGAAGTCCTAGATACAGCAATCAGAGAAGAAAAAGAAATAAAAGGAATCCAGATCAGAAAAGAAGTAAAGCTCTCATCATTTGTAGATGACATGATACTGTACGTAGAAAAACCTAAAGACAGTGTCAGAAAACTACTACAGCTAATCAGTGAATTTAGCAAAACTGCAGGATACAAAACCAATACACAGAAATCACTTGCCTTTCTATATACTAACAATGAAAAATCAGAAAGAGAAATTAAGGAATCAATCCCATTCACCATTGCAACAAAAAGAATTAAATATCTAGGAATAAACTTACCTAAGGAGACAAAAGAACTGTACACAGAAAATTATAAGATACTAATGAAAGAAATCCAAGAGAACATAAACAGATGGAGAGATATTCCATGTTCCTGGGTAGGAAGAGTCAATATTGTAAAAATGACTATATTACCAAATGCAATCTACAGATTCAATGTGATCCCTATCAAATTACCAATGACATTTTTCACAGAACTAGAACAAAAAATTTCACAATTCATATGGAAACACAAAAGACCCTGAATAGCCAAAGCAGTTTTGAGAAAGAAGAAGGGAGCTGGAGGAATCAAACTTCCTGACTTCAGAGTATACTACAAAGCTACAGTCATCAAGACAGTATGGCACTGGCACAAAAACAGAAATATAGACCAATGGAGCAAGATAGAAAGCCCAGAAATAAACCCATGCACCTATGGGTACCTTATTTTTGACAAAGGAGGCAAGAATATGCAATGAGGCAAAGACAGCATCTTCAATAAATGGTGCTGGGAAAACTGGACAGCTACACATAAAAGAATGAAATTAGAGCACTTTCTAACATCACACACAAAGATAGAATCAAAATGGATTAAAGATCTAAATGTGAGACAAGAAACTATAAAACTCTTAGAGGAAAACATAGGCAGAACACTCAATGACATAAATCAAAGCAAGATACCCTATGACCCATCTCCTAGATTAATGGAAATAAAAACAAAAGTAAACAAGTGGTACCTGATTAAACTTAAAAGCTTTTGCACAGTAAAGGAAACTATAAGCAAGGTGAAAAGACAACCCTCAGAATGGGAGAAAATAATAGCAAATGAAACAAATGACAAAGGATTAATTTCCAAAATATACAAGCAGCTCATACAACTCAATACCAGAAAAACAAACAACACAATCAAGAAGTGGGGAAAAGACCTAAATAGACATTTCTCCAAGGAAGACATACAGATGGTTAACAAACACATGAAAAGATGCTCAACATCGCTCATTATTAGAGAAATGCAAATTAAAACTACAATGAGATATCACTTTACACTGGTCAGAATGGCTATCATTAAAAAGTCTACAAACAATAAATGCTGGCAAGGGTATGGAGAAAAGGGAACGCTCTTGCACTGTTGGTGGGAATGTAAATTGATTCAGACACTGTGGTAGATGGTATGGAGATTCCTTAAAGAACTAGGAATAAAACCACCATATAACCTGGCAATCCCACTCCTAAGCATACACCCTGAGGAAACCAAAATGGAAAAAGACACGTATCCCATTGTTCATTGCAGCATTAATTACAATAGCTGCAACCGAATGGAAGCAACCTAGATGTCCATTGACAGATGAATGGATAAAGAAGTTGGGGTACATATACACAATGGAATATTACTCAGCCATAAAAAGGAACACTTTTGAGTCAGTTCTGATGAGGTGGATGAACCTAGAACCTATCATACAGAGTGAAGTAAGTCAGAAAGAGAAAGATAACTATCATATTCTAATGCATATATATGGAATCTAGAAAAATGGTACTGAAGAACTTGTGTACAGGGAAGCAATGGAGAAACAGACACAGAGAATAGACTTATGGACATGGGGAGAGAGGAAGAAAGGGTGAGATGTATGGAGAGAGTAACATGGGAACTTACATCACCATGTGTAAAATTCCAGTGGGAATTTACTGTATGACTCAGGAAACTCAAATAGGGGTTCTGTGTCAACCTGGAGGGGTGGGATGGGGAGGGAGATGGGAGGGGGTTTCAGTAGGGAGGGGATATATGCATACCTATGGCTGATTCATGTTCAGGTTTGACAGAAAACAACAAAATTCTGTAAAGCAATTATTCTTCAATAAAAAAAAATTAAAAAAAGAGAAAAGAACAATCAAGTAAATTGTGTGTGTGTAAATACAACACAATGATATAGTCTTAAAAATGATGTTTACAAATAATTTTTCAATGATATGGTGATAACTGGGCACACATGGACACACGTCTTTTTTTCCACTCACCTTTGAAAGACTTCACACCCCTCAGTAATTCTTTCTTAAACACCTTTTTATCAGCTGTAAACAAACAACAACAACAAAAAACATGATTTAGTTTTTGATGATTCATAAAAATCAGTATTTACTTTCAGAAAGGGAAAACTTAAATTTATCAAAGTTTATTCTCAGTGAAATAAAAAGTACTCAGAAAATTCAGTGTAGTGAATCTAGCCACTGGACAGAAGAGATTACTGCTAGTGGCATCCTACTTTGCGGAAACACACATAGCTTTTTCTTTACCATTTCTCCACTCTCATTTGGCTTTATTTTTCTTTCTTCATTTTCCTATCCTCCTTCCTTTTCCTCTTCTTACAGCTTAGACTTTAGATTTCTCCCAAAGAGATGAAAGGACATGTGTGTCCTATATGGGACTTCTGTCTAAAGAGGTCCCAGTTTCCTAAACCAAAATCTAAATGAAAAGAACAGGATTTCAAAAAAAAAAAATGCTAAGATCGAATCTTTAAACAATATTTTTAATTGACATAAAATGTTTCAAATGTTAGAATTTCTTATACAAAACCCTATAACTAACCTTCCCTGAAGTTTTGTTTAGGAGGGCAGGAACTTGAGGAAATGTGCTCCTCACAGTCATGGTACCTGCCCAGCAGAGTTTAGTACAGTGCTATGTACAAAAGAGAGCTTCAGTAAATGTCTGTTGAAGGAATACATTTTTAGACTTCAGTGATATAGAACACACTTAAATGCTTACCAGAAACGGGCAGAGTTTTAATAAGCTTTTTGTGTTCCTTATTTGTGATCTCTATTCCCATGTTTTTAAGAACATTTTTCAGGTCCTCAGTGTGAATCTTCTCTCCTTTAGAAAAGGAAACGTGTAAACATCTTTATCAGGTGCAGGGGAAAGAATAAGGTACAATGAAGGCTTGTTCAGCTCTTCAGAATCAAGGAGGGGAGTCAGACATTTTTCTTTCAACCTAAGTAAAAAGAACCTCTTATAATGATAAGACAATAATATGCATAAAAAGTAAAATAGGAATTGTATAATCTCAGTAACTTAGATACTGTTTGACGACTAATATAAGTAATCCAATCACATAACAGTTGTATTATTTTCTTTATTTTTCCCTTCTTCCTTCTCTCTCCCCTCCTCTAGGCCTCCCTCTTCTTCTTTTTTTTTAATTTTTTTCATTTATTTTTATTAGTTGGAGGCTAATTACTTTACAATATTGTAGTGGGTTTTGTCATACATTGACATGAATCAGCCATGGATTTACATGTGTTCCCCATCCTGATCCCCCCTCCCACCTCCCTCTCCACCTGATCCCTCTGGGTCTTCCCAGTGCACCAGCCCCGAGCACTTGTCTCATGCATCCCACCTGGGCTGGTGATCTGTTTCACCCTTGATAATATACATGTTTCAGTGCTGTTCTCTTGAAACATTCCACCCTCGCCTTCTCCCACAGAGTCCAAAAGTCTGTTCTATACATCTGTGTCTCTTTTTCTGTTTTGCATATAGGGTTATTGTTACCATCTTTCTAAATTCCATATATATGTGTTAGTATACTATAATGGTCTTTATCTTTCTGGCTTACTTCTGTTGCCTAAATTATAGAATTAGTTTTAATAATGATAACAAAAATTGACTTATAAAAATTTCCACCTTGAATAAAATTATATTTATACAATTATTAATGCATTGCAAGCTGAAAGAAAGATATGATAAACCAAATAAGAAAGTCTAACATATATATAATAGGAGTTTCCAAAAGTGAAAAAAGAGAAAAGAGGGGTGAGATAATACTGAAACGTAAGGACTGAGGATTTTCAGATTTGATGAAAGGCATAAATGTTCAGTTTCAGGAATCAGAAGTTCCAAGCAGGAAAAATATAAAGAAGTCTACACTTGGCCATGTGATAATGAGAACTTCAAAGATAGAGATAATCTTAAGAGTTACAAGAGAAAAAGAGATTAACTATTAAAAAGCAATGAAGACTTAGAGTTAATTTTTTTTATGGCAAAAAAGAGGGCCAGGAAACAGTGCATATGAGTCTACCTATCCATGTATGTATGTTCTTTTATCTCTTTTTCCCCTTTTAAATTAAAATACAAATTTTATTATAGGCTAACTTTACAGCTTAGTCTCTAAGTAACAATGTTCAAATGGGGCTATAACTAAATTTGGGAAGTAATTAACATGACCCAGAGATGTATGACTGTCTCCCAGAGATAGACTGTTGGAACTTTGCTGCTTCTTATTCTGGGGAGAAAGTGAAGACAACTTTCACTTGTATGAAGGATAGCTGCATCTTGCTAGTTGGAAACTAAGAGAGGTTTTTTGTTGTTTTATATGGAAGCTAAATTCAAATATATGTAGAAGAGTCTGTAGCTGAGAAGTCAAAAGGAGATTTAGGACCTAATTCTCAGTGCTCCAGTCCTACCCTTCTGTACTTTGCTTTGTGTGTGTGTGTTAGTCACTCAGCCATGTCTGACTCTTTGTGACCCCATGGACAGTAGCCTGCCAGGCTCCGCTGTCTGTGGAATTCTCTAGGCAAGAATACTGAAGTGCGTTGCCATTCCCTTTTCCAGGAGATCTTCTGACCCAGGGATTGAACCTGGGTCTTCTGCATTGCAGGCAGATTCTTTACCATCTGAGCCACCAGGGAAGCCCTTATGTGTGGGACCCTAGATCACATTTCTGTTTTGCCAGCTGGCTCTATATTAAATTCTGTGAATAGGGGATGCTAGAGAGTCTGTAAGGCTGGCAGATGAAGGTAGTTCCTGAAGCAGTAGGTGAATCAAGTTTTCAATTTTTCAGCCTTGTGGAACCAGTTTCATTACACTTTTTTCAGACATAGTAGCTGAATGCATGCATGTGTGCAAAGTTGCTTTAGCCATGTCTGACTCTTTGTGACCCTATGGACTGTAGCCTGCCAGACTCCTCTATCCATGGAATTCTCCAGGCAAGAATACTGGAGTGGGTTGCCATTCTCTCCTCCAGGGGATCTTCCCAACCTAGGGACCAATATGTCTCCTGCATTGGCAGGCAGGTTCCTTACCACTAGCACCAACTGGGAAGTCCATAGTAGCTGCACATGTCAGTATTCTAAGGTAAAATGACCATCTACACGTCTAGACTTAGTCAAACCATGATTCAAGCATGAATGTAAAATAAAGATTTTTCAGACAAAGACTGACTCTTGTTGAAAGTACTAAGAACAATTTACTTGTAGGAAGAATAAAGTCAACCCCCCCCAAAAAAATAGAAGTAAAAAACAACGGTGAGCCAAGAAAGTGATAAGCATGTTTAAATTTTGTGGAAGACTGCATTTAAATTGCTCTACTCTTGCTTTTAATATACTCGGCAAAAATCCATTCCTGGTTAAAAGAAGTGTCTGCTTATTCTGTCGGAGAAGGCAATGGCACCCCACTCCAGTACTCTTGCCTGGAAAATCCCATTTCGGAGGAGCGTGGTAGGTTGCAGTCCATGGGGTCACGAAGAGATGGACACAACTGAGAAACTTCACTTTCACTCATTGGAGAAGGAAATGGCAACCCACTCCAGTGTTCTTACCTGGAGAATCCCAGGGACGGGGGAGCCTGGTGGGCTGCCGTCTATGGGGTCGCACAGAGTCGGACACGACTGAAGCGACTTAGCAGGAGCAGCAGCAGCTTATTCTGTGTCTGCAGCCATGTAGCTGCACGGAGTTAAAGTTAACTATGCTGTTTTCACATTAAATTGATGACCATGAAGCTCAAGTAGGTCCTTATTTCTGTCGGGCAATCACACCATACTCGGCTGGTCCATTAACTTTCCCACTCTTCTTGTTGACTGCTTCACATCACTTCTCTTTCAAACCACCACTTCCTTCTTCTCTATTTAATCACAACTTCTTTTATCTCTCTAATTAAAGAAGTCCTCATGGCAGAAACTGAAGAAGAACTAAAGAACCTCTTGATGAAGGTAAAAGAGGAGAGTGAAAAAGTTGGCTTAAAACTCAACATTCAGAAAACTAAGATCATGGCATCTTGTCCCATCACTTCATGGCAAATAGATGGGAAAATAATGGAAAAAGTGAAAGATTTTGTTTTCTTAGGCTCCAAAATCACTGCATATGGTGAGAGCAGCTATGAAATTAAAAGACGCTTGCTCCTTGGAAGAAACGCTATGACCAACCTGGATAGCATATTAAAAAGCAGAGACATCACTCAGCCAGCAAAAGTACATCTAGTCAAAGCTATGGTTTTTCCAGTAGTCATGTATGGATGTGAGAGTGGGACTATAAAGAAAGCTGAGCACTGAAGAATTGATGTTTTGAACTGTGGTATTGAAGAAGACTCTTGAGAGTCCCTTGGACTGCAAGGAGATCCAACCTGTCAAGCCTAAACAAAATCAGTCCTGAATATTCATTGGAAGGACGGATGTTGAAGCTGAAACTCTAATACTTTGGCCTGATGCAAAGAACTGCCTCATTTGAAAAGACCCTGAAGCTAGGAAAGATTGAAGGCAGGGGGAGAAGGGGATGACAGAGGATGAGATGGTTGGATGGCATCACTGACTTGATGGACATGAGTTTGAGTAAGCTCCAGGAGTTGGTGATGGACAGGGAAGCCTGGCGTGCTGCAGTCCATGGGGTCACAAAGAGTTGGACACGACTGAGTGACTGAACTGAACTGAACTGAAAGAAGTCCTAAACACCGACCACCAGGAAATTCCATATTCACTGTTTCTAAATCTTATCCTCTCAATTTCTATTAAATATCCTTCAGTTAGGCTTCTTTCCACTCTCACCACCTACGACGTCTCTCTCTCTCTTTTTTAACTTCTCTTTTTGAAACTACCAGTGATCTCCATGTGGCTATACACAATGGTCAATTCTCAGCCCTTATCTTACTTGGATTATCAGCAGCATTTAACTCTGTTGATTTGCCCTCTACTCTGATACGGTAGATGCTGTAGATGCACTGACCAAATCTCTAACCTTTGCCATTTCAATGCACACTAGTCCAACTTTCAATTGCCAGTATCTCTTTGTCTGAAGGATTTCTTTGTGTACGTTGTGTTACAAAATGATCACCACAATAAGTCTACTTAACATCCATCACAGTGGCTCCTTTTAAAATATATCAAAATTCAATTACTTTTTTTTTTTTTTGGCAGTGACTCCAGGCAAAATGGGGATCTAGTTCTCACCCCACCCAAGGCCAGGGGTCAAATCCATATCCCCTGCAGTTGAAGCCCAGAATCTTAACCACTGGACTTTCAGGAAAATCCCTATTTTTCATCACTTTATTGTTATCTAACCTGGTATTAAAAACCATCATCTCTAACGTGGATTACTCTAAAAGCCTCTTAAATGGTTTCCCTGTTTCTATTCTTGGTTTCTTTCCTCCACTTCCCCCACCTCCACTGCTTCACCCCACCATCTGTTCACACAGAATCTGGAAAGATCTGATGAAAGATTAGGTCAGATTATATCATGCCTCAGCTCTAAATCCTTCAATGGCTTCCCATTTCTCTTAGAAAAAAGCCCAAGACCTGTCAGGGCTTTCATGGTGATGGCTGATCTTGTACCCATCATGTCCCTCTTCTCATCTCCTATTACTGTTTTCCTTACTTACTCAACTTCAGCCACATTGGCCTTCTTGCTGTTTCTTGAATACCCCAGATATGATCCCACCTTTGGGCCTTAGTACTTATTTCCTTTGCCTGCAACACTCTTTTTCCAGAAGTCCCCACATGACTGAAACTCATAGCTTCTTCAGGTATTTGCTCAAATGTCACCGTCTTTAAGAGACCCGATTCTCTATTTAAGACCGTAACTGCTCCTTTTCCCAACATACTTTGCTCTCCCAGTCTCCTTTACTGTAGTCTACTTTTCATTCTTCTCTATAGAATTTACCACTTTCAAACATACTATATAATGCACTTATTTATAACATTTATTGTTTACTGCTTATTTCCTTTGCTACAATGTAAGCTCGGTGGGGGAAGTTATATTTGTTCTGTTTACTGATGTACTGTAAATGCCTCAAACAATGCCTGGCATGTAGTAAGTGCTGAATAAATAGTTGTTGAGTGAGTAAAGAAAGGAAACACTATTATATTAAAAATACAGTTCCATATAAAACTTCAAGACCAAATAATAATTGTAATATCTCGCTCACCTGTAATATTTTTAACTTTATCCACCAACACATTTAAATCAATCTTCTCATTATCTTAAAGATAAAAAATAAAAAATTTTTTTAGAAAAATGATATGAAATCCTTAAATTGTGAAGCAAAATCCCCAAATTCAACCATTTGAAAACATTTCCCTAGAAGTTTATTAGCTTTTCATGTCAGAGATCATACTTGTAATTAAAACAGTTCCTGCATTTTACTCTATCAAAAATCCACACAGCACAGTGCATGAGCAATGTTTAAAGTACTCTCCTAAAAAAAAAAAAAGTACTCTCCTTTCCTGTGAGAGACTCTTTTATTAGGTTAGTCTTTCTCAGACAGGAGTTTGAAACTTATTGAGAATTTAAAAATTTTGTTTAAAAATTATGTCTCCATTTCACCAGTGTTGACTTTACCTTTGGGCTTATGTTCACCTTGGCACCAAGTGATATCCTTAAAGTACAGACTGCTGGTGTGCATGTCTGGTGCTCTTAGCTTGCTAACACAATCATCATCATGTTGATGTATTTGGTTAAACTTCCAAGTTATATTTGTTCTGTTTACTGACAAAATTTTTGTTTTGCAGTACCCATTCTCAATGGAAAGACTTTTTCATAGACCATTAACTTAGTTTCTTTAGTCAGTATTTCTCAAAATAAAACCAGAAGCTATTGGATATCAATAGATACATTTTAATAAGTTTATAAAACTGAAAGTTTAAGAAACACTAAATTGGGACATTACAATAGTAATTAAAGGATTATTGTTGTTAAGCTGCTAAGTTGTGTCCAACTCTTTGGGACCCCATGAACTGAAGCATGCCAGGCTTCCCTGTCCTTCACTATCTCCCAGAATTTGCTTAAACTCACGTCCATTGAGTGGGTGATGCCATCCAGCCATCTCATACTCTGTCGCCCCCTTCTCCTCTTGCCCTTAATAGTAAAAAGATGCTATTACACTAACAGGCAAGATTCAGTTTGCAACCTTAAAGCTGCCCATGGACAAGCTCATTCTCCACTTATGACTTGGTCAAGGGTGCCAATTCATCACTGCTCAAATGTGTTTGCATTATTGTATTATTTTTAATATTCTTCAGGTTTTAAGTTCCCCCAAGGGTGAGATACCAGTTTAATGGTTTGTTCAAGAGTGATGTTCCATAAATGCTTTGTTGTTGTTCAGTCACTCAGTCATGTCCAACTCTTTGCGTCCCTATGAACCACAGCACGCCAGGCCTCCCTGTCCAGGAGTCCACCCAAACCCATGTCCATTGAGTCAGTGATGCCATCCAACCATCTCATCCTCTATCGTCCCCTTCTCCTCTCTCCTTTAATCTTCCTAGCATCAGGGTCTTTTCAAATGAGTTAGTTCTTCGCATCAGGTGGCCAAAGTATTGGAGTTTTAGCTTGAACATCAGTCCTTCCAATGAACACCCAGGACTGATCTCCTTTAGGATGGACTGGTTGGATCTCCTTGCAGTCCAAGGGACTCTCAGGAGTCTTCTCCAGCACCACAGTCTAACACATGCCAAATTTAATGCCAATTGGTAACTTCACTATACATCTTCTTAAGATCATTAATTCTGTAGTTCGTGGCAATATTAGCAGAGTGGTTGAAAGACAGTTTCTGGAGCCAGATTGCCTGTCTACCACTAGCTCTCTGACTCTAGGCAAGCTACTTGTTTTCTCTGTGCCTTAGTTTCCTGATACATAAATTAAGCATTAAAATGGAACTTATAGAGTAGTTTGGAAGATTAAATTATATAGTAAACTTCTTAGAACAGTGCCTTGCACATGCCAGGACTATGTAAGTGTTGCACACTACTTTTTAATGCTGGATTAACAGCAGGGACTCAAGGATTGAAGTGTTGACACTAGTTCTCTGAAATCTACAAAATCTCTAGTTCAATAAACCCTCCACATTCTTAAAAAAACCCACAACAACCCAGTGATTAGAGATTTGAGTATTCTTGTTAGTCCTTGGCATTTCCTATGGAGAGTGACACTTGTCATCTATATTGGGCAGCCTTCTTGGTGATCTTCCCCGAGTGATAGTTACTTGGCTTCAGGCTGTGCTGAAGGCCTCACTATTTTTCTTCTTTTCATGTATTATACATCACATCTTTAGTCATTCCAGCCCTGACACTGGCCTCATATCCAAAGTTTTGCTAAGGGGTATATTGATACCAAAACTCTCACCGTAAACTGGTAGGTGGTCCTTTAGTTCCTGGATTTCTTCCTCTGTGAGATCAATTCCCATGTTTTTAAGGCAAATGTCCACTTTATCTGAAGATACCTTTGTCCCTTAGGAAAGAAAGGGATGGATATGAGAAATAGTTCTAGTGATGTAAGGAGTGGATTATTTTAGCTCATATTGAGGCATCAATACTTATAGAGAATAAAGAGCAAAGAACAAATGGCTGAAGTAAACGTGATCTTGGTGTCTAAGTCAGAAATTCCTAAATTTGATCTCTGGGATTTGGAAAACTTTTAAGAGAAGAAACTGAGGGGTTGGAGGTATCTGATGTGTGTGTGTGTGTTAGTTGCTTAGTCGTGTCTGACTCTTTGCAGCCCCATAGACTGCAGCCCACCAGGCCCCTCCATCCATGGGATTCTCCAGGCAAGAACACTGGAGTGGGTTGCCATTTCCTTCTCCAAAAGGAACTATAGAAAGAAAGAAAGTGAAGTCGCTCAGTCATGTCCGACTCTTTGCGACCCAGTGGACTGTAGCCTACCAGGCTCCTCCAGACATGGAATTTTCCAGGCAAGAGTACTAGAGTGGGTTGCCATTTCCTTCCAGGAGATATCTGATAAGTCATGACAAAGACTAAAATTAACCTTTATAAACATGTCTGTACAGTAGGATTTGAAACTTGCTAAATTAATGGATAAATATCCATCCATCCATCCTGTCCATGGATTTACTCTATCATAATCCTATACATTTAATAACACGCATTTCTAGGTACTCTCTGGAAAGTCAATATCAATAAAACTGAAAGAGGCCCAGTAATCTGAATGCTAAATCTTTCCCTCTTCCCCAGTTACTCTGATATACAACTTTATTTGGGAACCAAAGCTTTGGAGTTTACTGTAGTTAAACAATTTTGGTGAATGTACAGTACCTAAGGCATATAAAGAATAAATACTGAATTAATAACTGGGACAGCAGGATTAATAATCTGAAATATGTAAAACAGAGTTTTTGAAAATAAGAACAAAGCTCAATGTCCTCAGTTTTAATTGCCTTTTCATACTTCTCACTCACCTTCAAGAGACTGCAATTCTTTCATTAACCTGTTCATATACACCCTTCTTTGGGCTGCAAGAAAGGGAAAAATCCAAAGCTCAGACAGCAATCTAGATATTTTAAAATAGAATAAGACACACATAATTTTAGAAATATAAAGACTTGCATGTTTTATGCTAGACATTCTTATTATTTCACTTAAAAGAATAAAACTCAGGAATTGAAACAACTCTCAACTTGGTAAAATCATTTTGGTGAGGAGGGCATGAGACATTCCGTAAATAGCGTGTATTAGTCATGTAAGTCTGTAGTCTCGTTTCCTTGAAGGTCACTATGACTTTTTTCCCCACTGTGACATTTTTAATACTCACCATCAACTGGAAGATTGTTCAGTAGTTCCATGCCTTTATCTTCTGTGAGATCTATCCCCATATTTTCCAGAAAATTTTCCAGGTTACTAGCATCAACTTTCTCACCTTTAAAAAGTAAAACATGGTAACGGTTGACAATTTGAAGAATGATGATTCTTTATTGTTAAAAAAAATCCCTATATTGTCTTTGTCAATGAAGCAAACCTGGCAAGAATGTAAACTACTGCTAAGACATGATCTTAGAGTATTTTGGCTAAACAAAGGTGATCAAAGTTAGGCTGCGAGTCAGTAGATGGAAACATTCATCAGTAAAAAGGTAGAGTGAGAGAATATATCGGAGAAGGCAATGGCAACCCACTCCAGTACTCTTGCCTGGAAAATCCCAAGGACAGAGGAGCCTGGTGGGCTGCAGTCCATGGGGTCGCTAAGAGTCAGACACGACTGAGCGACTTCACTTTCACTTTTCACTTTCATGCATTGAAGAGGGAAATGGCAACCCACTCCAGTATTCTTGCCTGCAGAATCCCATGGACAGAGGGGCCTGGTGGGCTGCTGTCTATGGGGTCGCACAGAGTTGGACACGACTGAAGCGACTTAGCAGCAGCAGCAGCAGCAGAGAATATATCAATAAGGAAATAACTGCTATTAAAATAAAATTTTGTGCATGCATTAAAATCCAAGTTTTACAGTCTTTTTGATCATGTGTTGTGGAACCTGGGCTTTTCTCCAGGGCCTTCTTTCTTTTTTCAAAAATTTATTTATTTTTTAATTGAAGGACAATTGCTTTACAGAATTTTGTTGTTTTCTGTCAAACCTGAACATGAATCAGCCATAGGTATACATATATCCTCTCCCGCTTGAACCTCCCTCCTTCTCCCTCTCTATCCTACCCCTCTAGGTTGATACATAGCCCCTGTTTGAGTTTCCTGAGACATACAGAAAATTCCTGATGGCTATCTATTTTACATATGGTAATAAAAGTTTCCACATTCCTCTCTCCATACATCTCACCCTCTCCTCCCTTCTCCCATGTCCATAAGTCTGTTCTCTTTGTCTGTTTCTCCATTGCTGCCCTGCAAATAAATTCTTCAGTATATCTTTCCAGATTCTGTATATATGCGTTAGTATATGATACTTATCTTTCTCTTCCTGACTTACTTCACTCTGTATAATATGCTCTAGGTTCATGCACCTCATTAGAACTGACTCAAATGTATTCCTTCTTTATGGCTGAGTAATATTCCATTGTGTATATGTACCACAACTTCTTTATCCATTCATCTGTCGGTGGACATCTAGGTTGCTTTCATGTTCTAGCTATTGTAAATAGTGTTGCAATGAACAATGGGGTACATGTGTCTTTTTCAATTTTGGTTTCCTCAGTCTGCTAACTTCATCAAGCTTTTGACAGACATGAACCACCTTCTGCCTCAAGGTTATTATTCTTTTATTTGTACCACTCTTCTATTTGTATCATTTCCTTTCTCAAAAGGTAAGGATCTCAAAAATGTCTACCCTCTCTATATTCTGTTTTACCATTCTAATTTTTCTTCCATTGCTAGTTTTCTTTTCAACCCTTCCTATAGTGCCCTTTTGGACTCATATGTCATTAAATTTCAATTTCTCTATATCGTCAGTTTGATATCTCTTTGCAGACTCTTACCTTCTTTCTTAAGTTAATTTCACCTTTTCCTAATAGACTTTTCTATTATTATTTTTATTTATTTTAATTTTTTATTTAGAGAAAACTGCTCATTATTCTATATCACATTGCCTTAGGGCTTGGCATTCTCCTGGATTCCAGTTGCTGCTTTCCAACTATGCTCAAACCTTTCCTCTTTTGAGATTTATGAAACACTTTCTTTTTATTGTCACTTAATTGATTTCTTGGTCGTGTCAGGAGCTTATATCCTGTTACTCACAGTCTTCCTCTGCACTTAAACTCCTGGCATCATTACAGTGAATTCCAGTCTTTATTTGGAGGGCTCATTCAACAACTTATTCTCCAGATCTCTGATCTCGTTATCCTCAGACTTATCTCATAAATTCTATACTAGTTAACTGACATGGACATACCCTTGACTTTGTTATCACCTGGAAGTGCTTTTTATAATCTTAAATTCTAACATGCATGCTCCTGGCCAGAACTTCATATTTTCCCACTTCATTTACTTCCTTACTCCTACCACACATATTATAATCTCTGTAGAGCCCTTCATTCCACCCACTCACTTTTCTCTAAGTTCATAATTTCCATTATAATTTCCATTTTCACTTCTTTCCCTATCTGCCCATACTCGACCACTTAACCACTCTCTTGACTACACCCTTCATGTCTTTATGCTTTCATTCTTTTGGCACATCAGCCTTGAGAAATTCCTAACTTGATCCACCTGAAGAATACCACAATCATGGGAAAAGTTACTTATTTATGATAACTGACCTTGTTTGACTCTTGGCACTTCTCTGCAGTGCTTTCATATATTTCTCTAGTTCCTATTTTCTACCAAAGTAATCTGAAACCAGCAATGTCCATGCATGCTAAGTCGTTTCAGTTGTGTCTGACTCTGCAACCCTATGGAATGTAGCCTGCCAGGTTCCTCTGTCCATGTGATTCTCCAGGCAGGAATACTGGAGTGGGTGGCCATGTCATCCTCTGGGGGATCTTCCCAACCCAGGGACTGAACCTGCATCTCTTATGTCCCCTTCATTGGCAGGTGGGTCCTTTACCACTAGTGCCACCTGGAAAGCCCAAAATCAGCAATACTTCTTTTGAAGTTCCCTGCCTCCTTACTGTGCCTTTTTTTTTTTTTTCAGTAGACGATTTTGTTTTACACTTTATGGAGAAAATTGAAGCTTTGAGGTAAATTCCTCTGAATTTAACTCCACAGTTATACAGATTCTCTTCCTGACTTGAGGTCTGACTGACTCAGAAAAAAGAGGTGGTTTCAGATTCTTACCCACATATTCAACTGCCTATCATTCAATTTCCCACAGATGTCTCACAGGAACCCCAAATTCAATATGACCAAAATGAAGACTATATCTTTGTTCCTACGTCTGTTTTGCTGAAGTCTTTATTTTGGTAAATGTCGTTATCACCCACCCAACTACCCAACTCAGAAACAAAGGAGTCAGCCTTCACTTCATCCTTTTGCTCTATTTCCATAGCTCATGAGTAGCCAAATCCTATAGATTCTACATCTGCAACATCTCTTACATATGCCTCTTTTCAAGTCTCATAAATAATGGTTTAGTTCTGCCCTTTATTGTCTTTTGCCTGAACAGTTATAATCTGCTTCGTAACTAGTCTCCCTGACTCTATTCTAGCACACAAATCTCCACCCATCATTTATACTGAAGCTTGAGTAATCTTTCTAATTTGAAAATCTAATCACATAGTCCCCTGTTTAAAACCCTGGAATGACTTCCCACTCAGCACAGAAAAAAATTCACACTCCTTTATTTGGTATCCAAGGTCCTCCATAATTTGTCTCCTATATTAGTTTCCTGATATTGCTATGTGTTACAAATTACCAAAATCTTGGTGACCTAAAACAACATGGATTTGTTTCTTGTGCAGTTCTGGGGGTCAGAGGTCTGAGTCAGTCCCACTGGGGTAACATCAAGGTATCTGCAAGGCTGGCTCCTTCAGGAGCTCTAGAGAGAGAATCCGTTCCCTTGCATTTTCCATGTCTAGAGGCCACTTACTTTCCTTGGTTCATGACCCCTCTTCTATCTTTAAAGTCAGCAATATAGCACCTGGCTTCCATTGCTGCATTGCCTTCTACTTTTTCTGTCATCAAATTTCACTCTTCTTCCTTTTTCTAAGGATATTTGTGATTACATTTAGGGTCAGCTGGATAATCAAGGATATTTTCTCCATCTCCAGATCATTCTTAATCACATTTCCACATATATGGTCTTTTGCCACATAAGGTAACAGCCACAAGTTCTCTCCATCCCACTCTGTCTATCCGGCAAAACTGACTCACCTTTCAAGGATCAGCTCACTGTCGCCCATACTATTAAAGCATTCACCAGTTTCTCCTCCTCAGGTTCAAGTGACCATTCTGCTCTTCCTTTGCTTGGTATAGGTTTTAAACAAAGCACCTATAACATTTTATGCATTGATTTATAGTTTTTTCCTTGCCCCAACTACATAAGATCCTGGAAGGTTGGTTTTTTTGTATCCATACTTGGATACAAAAGTATGCTTTTGTATAGTATACGTAGATGTTTAACAATGAGTTAATAAAAATCTAACCTACCTGTAAAAAAGTTTCCTTCATCCATTACCACAGTCACATCTACTTTCCCCTCATCTGTAAGAGAAGACAGAATCTTATGCATAAAGACAATAAAAAAGAGAAATGGAAGACAGATATAAGTTATACGCTGAAGAAAAACATAAAATTCAGCAAATGTTATAGTTTGTTTTAGAGTTTTATCCTATTTTCATTCCAAATGGAAAGTGTGGAAAGACAAACCTCTTGATTATAAAGAAGATACTTAACTCACACTTCCAACTTCACTTTTATTCTATTAAGATAAACTCTACATGGTGGAATGGTGGACTGACATTTAAAAAGGCACCCTCTCTACTTTCAGATCTAGAAAAATTCTTGTTTTTCATTGATGATAAGGTTGACAAGCATCTTAAAAGGGGCAAATGCTCAAGTAGGAAAGATCTGACTTGGAGCATTGAAAATACCTCTTTTTGGGGACTTCCCTGGCAGCCCAGTGGTTAAGACTCCATGCTTCCACTGCATGGGTTTGACACCTGGTTGGGGAACTAAGATCCTGCAAGCGGTGCAACGTGGCCAAAACAAAGCAAACCAAAACAACTTAGTTTTTTGCTCAATCCACAGATAACACTTAGCTGTGTTCAGGCATTATCCATACTCAGTATTGAAAAAAAAAAGAGCTTTGATCAACCTGACTAAACTTTAATAAGCAGTTTAAAAATCTTTATTCACATTTTCCTTTTAAATGAGGTATTTAGAGGGAACAGCCCGATGGATGATCAGTGTCTCACAGGAAGCTGTCTGTTCTCATCTATTTCAGTTAGTCCTACAGAAGACTCATGAATAGCATGAAACAGGTTTCTAATGTTATTTCCTATGGGCTCATTGACCCCAGAATTGGTACTCCAGGAGTTGGCTGATATGTCCACGACCAAAATCACTGTTGTGGCATTCTAGTAATGTTTAAAATACCTGGAAATATAATAATAAAATATATTTACATCCTTTTATATGCAGGTCAAAAATACTGGGAAACTATATATTTCAAGTAATTAACAAAAAATTATCCTGTGGAAAATTTCCATTTCTCTGGCCAGAGCAAAGGCATAGTTAAGTGGCATTGTGTCGACATGAATATATATGGGTCATTATAATTACTAGTAACAAAATCTACCATTAAATGCCTACTCTGTGTTAGGCCCTATCCTAGAAACTTACAACATTTAGGAAAGGTAACTATTACATTCTTCTTCTTTTTTTTTTAAGAAACCAAGACTCAGAGGGATTAATTTGAACAATCTTGCACAGACAGAGCTGAGATTTAAGTCTGTGTCTTATTCCAAATTTCAAATTCTTTCCATAATGCAATATAATCAGTAGAGCCAGTGGGATAAAGCCCAGGTTTTTACTGTTTTTCTCAAAGGGGTTTGTTATCTTGCAAACTTTTCCTAGTGGATACTTGTGGGTCTCACTATTAGGGGTTACTCTAAAATATGCTAGGTGTGATAGTTATAAAGGAAAATTATTTTGGAATTATTTCTTCATTTTGAACTTGTTTCTAGTAGTTCAGAATTCATCCTAGCTAAATTTTTCCCTGTCTTTTTCTTAAGACTACTTTCCTCCTTAGTCTATTTGCTTACTTTCAAACTTTCCTTATCAAATATTCCCTCCACTTATTTATTTATTTTGCTTCTTATTTATTTCTTCTTTTGTAATAATCTTTACAGTGCTCTGGCACAATGCTAAACTTTGCTAAATCTGTGGACAGCTAACTTCCTAGGGAAAGTCAAGTAAGATAAATTATTAGAGTATTCATTTCCAAACATCTTTATACATATTTCTAGTTCAAAGTCCTATCAGCTCAGTTAGTTCAGTCACTCAACTATGTCCGACTTCTTGCGACCCCATGAACCGCAGCACGCCAGGCCTCCCTGTCCATCACCAACTACCGGAGTTTATTCAAACTCATATCCATCGAGTCAATGATGCCATCCATCCATCTCATCTTCTGTCATCCCCTTCTCCACCTGCCCCCATTCCTCCCAGCATCAGGGTCTTCTCCAATGAGTCAACGCATCACATGAGGTGACCAAAGTACTGGAGTTTCAGCTTCAGCATCAGTCCTTGCAATGAACACCCAGGAGTGGTCTCTTTTAGGATGGACTGGTTGGATCTCCTTGCAGTCCAAGGGATTCTCAAGAGTCTTCTCCAACACCACAGTTCAAAAGCATCAATTTTTTGGTGCTCAGCTTTCTTCACAGTCCAACTCTCACATCCATACATGACCACTGGAAAAACCATAGCCTTGACTAGATGGACCTTTGTTGGCAAAGTAATGTTTCTGCTTTTTAATATGCTATCTAGGTTGGTCATAACTTTCCTTCCAAGGAGTAAGTGTCTTTTAATTTCAGGGCTGCAATCACCATCTGCAGTGATTTTGAAGTCCCCCAAAATAAAGTCTGACACTGTTTCCACTGTTTCCCCATATATTTCCCATGAAGTGATGGGACTAGATGCCATGATCTTAGTTTTCTGAATGTTGAGCTTTAAGCCAACTTTTTCACTCTCCTCTTTCACTTTCATCAAGAGGCTTTTCAGTTCTCTTCACTTTCTGTCATAAGGGTGGTATCATCTGCATATCTGAGGTTATATGCAGCAATCTTGATTCCAGCTTGTGCTTCTTCCAGCCCAGTGTTTCTCATGATGTACTCTGCATGTAAGTTAAATAAGCAGGGTGACAATATACAGCCTTGAAGTATTCCTTTTCCTATTTGGAATCAGTCTGTTGTTTCATGTCCAGTTCTAACTGTTGCTTCCTGACCTGCATATAGGTTTCTCAAGAGGCAGGTCAGGTGGTCTGGTATTCCCATCTCTTTCAGAATTTTCCACAGTTTATGTGATCCACACAGTCAAAGGCTTTGACATAGTCAATAAAGCAGAAATAGATGTTTTTCTGGAACTCTCTTGGTTTTTCGATGATCCAACATATGTTGGCAATTTGACCTCTGGTTCCTCTGCCTTTCCTAAAACCAGCTTAAACATCTGGAAGTTCACAGTTCACATATTGCTGAAGCCTGGCTTGGAGAATTTTGAGCATTACTTTACTAGCGTGTGAGATAAGTGCAATTGTGCAGTAGTTTGAACATTCTTTGGGATTGCCTTTCTTTGGGATTGGAATGAAAACTGACCTTTTCCAGTCCTGTGGCCACTGCTGAGTTTTCCAAATTTGCTGCCATATTGAGTGCAGCACTTTCACCGCATCATCTTTCAGGATTTGAAATATAAGCTCAACTGGAATTCCATCACCTCCACTACCTTTGTTCATAGTGATGCTTTCTAAGGCCCACTGGACATCACATTCCAGGATGTCTGGCTTTAGGTGAGTGATCACACCATTGTGATTATCTGGGTCATGAAGAGCTTTTTTGTACAGTTCTTCTCTGTATTCTTGCCACCTCTTCTTAATATCTTCTGCTTCTGTTAGGTCCATACCATTTCTGTCCTTAATTGAGCCCATTTTTGTGTGAAATGTTCCCTTGGTATCTCTAATTTTCTTGAAGAGATCTCTAGTCTTTCCCATTCTGTTGTTTTCCTCTATTTCTTTGCATTGATAGCTGAGGAAGGCTTTCTTATCTCTCCTTGCTATTCTTTGGAACTCTGCATTCAAATGGGAATGTCTTTCCTTTTCCCCTTTGCTTTTTAGTTCTCTTCTTCTCACAGCTATTTGTAAGGCCTCCTCAGACAGCCATTTTGCCTTTTCACATTCCTTTTCCATGGGAATGGTCTTGATCCCTGTCTCCTGTACAATGTCATGAACCTCTGTCCATAGTTCATCAGGCACTCTGTCTATCAGATCTAGTGCCTTAAATCTACTTCTCACTTCCACTGTATAGTCATAAGGGATTTGATTTAGGTCATACCTGAATGGTCTAGTGGTTTTCCCTACTTTCTTCAATTTCAGTCTGAATTTAGCAATAATGAGATCATGATCTGAGCCACAGTCAGCTCCCATTCTTGTTTTTGCTGACTGTATAGAGTTTCTCCATCTTTGGCTGCAAAGAATATAATCAATCTGATATCAGTGTTGACCATCTAGTGATGTCCATGTGTAGTCTTCTCTTGTGCTGTTGGAAGAGGGTGTTTGGTATGACCAGTGTGTTTTCTTGGCAAAACTCTATTAGACTTTTCTCTGCTTCATTCCATATTCCAAGTCCAAATTTGCCTGTTATCCAGGTGTTTCTTGACTTCCTACTTTTGCATTCTAGTTCCCTATAATGAAAAGGACATCTTTTTTGGGTGTTAGTTCTAAAAGGTCTTGCAGGTCTTCATAGAACCATTCAACTTTAGCCTCTTCAGCGTTACTTGGATTACTGTGATATTGAATGGTTTGCCTTGGAAACGAAGAGAGATCATTCTGTCATTTTTGAAATTCATCCAAGTACTGCATTTTGGACTCTTGTTGACCATGATGGCTATTCCATTTCTTCTATGAGATTCCTGCCCACAGTAGTAGATATAATGGTCATCTGAGTTAAAGTCACCCATTCATGTCCACTCTAGTTCACTGATTCCTAGAATGTCGACATTCAGTCTTGCCATCTCCTGTTTGACCACTTTCAATTTGCCTTGATTCATGGACCTAACATTCCAGGTTCCTATGCAATATTGCTCTTTATAGCATTGGACCCTGCTTCTATCACCAGTCACATCCACACCTGGGTATTGTTTTTGCTTTGGCTCTACCCTTCATTTTTTCTGGAGTTATGTCTCCACTGATCTCCAGTAGCATATTGGGCACCTGCCGACCTGGGGAGTTCCTCTTTCAGTATCCTATCATTTTGCCTTTTCATACTGTTCATGGGGTTCTCAAGGCAAGAATACTAAAGAGGTTAGCTATTCCCTTCGCCAATGGACCACATTCTGTCAGACCTCTCCACCATGTCCCGTCTGTCTTGGGTGGCCCCACATGGCATGGCTTAGTTTCACTGAGTTAGACAAGGCTGTGTTCCATGTGATCAGATGGGCTAGTTTTCTGTGATTATGGTTCAAAGTGATTATGGATCAAAGTCCTATACATATCTCAAATTCAAAATGTGTAAAACTGAAACTATTCTTTTGATATTATAACCTGAATCTTTCCTCAATTCTCAAATTGGGTATGATACAATTTATGATTTAGTCACAAGGAGATGTCTGCTTCCTAAAAAAAAAATGTGTTTTTTTTAAATCTTTTTTTTTCTTTTTTTTTATTAGTTGGAGGCTAATTACTTTACAATATTGTAGTGGGTTTTGTCATACATTGACATTAATCAGCCATGGATTTTTTTTTAAAGCTAAAGTTTATTATTAGTTTTGGCCACATGGTATGTGGGATCTTTATTCCTGGCCAGGGATAGAACCCATGGCTCCTGCATTAGAAGTGCAGAGTCTTGACCATTGGACCTCCAGGGAAGACTCTAAAATTTTTCTTTTTTTTTCATAACTCATATGTAGTCAGTCACTTAAGCCCTATTCATTTTAATTCTAAAATGTTTCCCAAATCAGTCCATGATGACTAATCCACCAATAAGTTCACTTCACTCGCCCAGGCCCTTATCATCTCTTGTTGGAACACAACAATATGTTTTAAATTTGAGTCTTGCTTTCCAATAGTGCCCTCTGTGTTGCCATCAGCACCAACTTCCAAAATTGAAATATTCTAGATAGACTACTGCCTATAGGATTAAGGCTAAAATTGAAGGGAGAAACAGACAAGTAAAGTATAATACTTGGAGAGTTCAATATCAAATTTTCTATAATGGCTACAACACCTAAATAAAAAAACAGTAGAATAAAGAAGACAAACAATATTATCAACCATAAAACATCCTCCAGGATACACCATTATCCTAGGTCATAAAAAAGTCATTCAATTCTGAGATCACAGGAAGTATGTTCTCTGACTACAGTGAAATTAATTCAAAATCAATAGTAGAAGGAAATTTAAGAAATACACAAATATTTGGAAAACACATTTTATTAAATATTTATAATATTTATAAAGTATTAAAAACACATTTTAAGATAACCCATGGGTCAAAAGAGAAATCACAATGGGAACTTAGAAAGTATTTCTAGTTGAATGAAAATGAAACCATATCAACATTTTTTGATTAAAGTTGAAAACAATTATGTTAGAAAAAAAGAAAAATCTGAAATTAATAATCTAAATTTTCAAAACAAGAGCAAACTAAATCCAATGTAAACTGAAAGAAGGAAATAATAGAGATTAGAAGTGAAATCAATAAAATGGAAAGCAGAAAATCAGTAGGGAAAATTGATGTTGGCTCTTTGGAAAGATCAACAAAATTGTCAAACTCTTAGCTAGACTATCCAAATAAAAAGATATAAGACAGATCAAAATCAGGAGACCAACACTAACTTTACAGAAACTAACAGGATTATAAAGAAATACTATGAATAACTTCACGTCAACCAATTAGACAATTTAGATGAAATGGGCAAATTCCTAGAAAAGGCACAAATTACCAAAACAACTCAACAGAAAGAAGGCTAAAACTCTAACGCCTGATTTAAGGTTCTAGTCTTGGCAGCCTTCCTTTTCAGCTTGTTTTCTGCAACTTTATGACATGAAGTTTATATCTTGCTGCTGCTACTGCTAAGTCGCTTCAGTCATGTCTGACTCTGTGCGACCCCATATCCTAGCCATAGAAAAATTCTTGCTAGTTCCCTAACCATGTGATTTTGCATGATTTTATGCTTTTTCATGCACTGCTTTCCTCATCTAGGATTTTTTTTTAATGAAGAATTTCTACACACCTGATAAAGTTTTCTCTGATCCTTTTCTTGGCAAACTTAGCTTTTCCCTCCTTTAGAATCTTAGTGAAAACATTTTTATTATTATTATAACACAACCACATAGCCATTATGAGGACTTGTTAACATGCAAGTCTTTTTACTAGACTGTGAACTTTTAGAGGACGTTGTCACTTTTATGTTTCTAATAGCTTATGTATATCATCCTTCTTTTTTATATTTTTAATAGCTTATGTATATTAGGCACTCAGTAAGGTCCACTGCACAAATTGATGCATTCTTGAGGACTGGGCCCTTATCTCTTGTTCTTTAGTATATCTGCACAACTTTAAATATACTCTCAGCAATTCTCATATATGAATCAAAAATTTCACCAGAAGCAACTCACCATCCAGGGGCAAGTTGTTTAGCAGGTCTTTATGTTCTTCTTCTTCAATCTTAAAGCCCATATTTTCCAGGAAGGAGTCCAGCTTATCAACATTAAGATCCACTCCTTAGGTAAAAATAAAATGGGAATGAGAAAAACAAACAATAACGACAAAGTGAAAAGTGCTAGACATATCCATGCATTAATTAGAGAGTGAAAAATCAAAGGAACAATAAAGTTATTTAAGAATCAAGACCAGAACTTATTCCTCATTTTTGTCCAGAGGATTTGATTATAGTTTTTATGCAACATTTGTAAGGAAGGAACTAAAAAATTAGGCAAGTCTGGTGAATTCTGGTAAGAAACTGCCTTTATAGTTATATTCAGAAAATAGAACTTGAAATGCAATGATAGAAACAAACATAATTTCTTCAAAGCTAGTTATGTTCAAAGCAGTAAACAATGAAACAAAAACACTTTATAAATGAACATGTTAGACTCACAAATTTGTCACCACCAAAAAATAAATGTGATTTTTCACAAAACGAAGTGCAAAACGTGAGGAGTCTCAATTTTATCTGCGTTTTCGCTCACCTTTGAGAGACTTTATGCCATCCAGCAGCTTATGTTTGTACAGCTTTCCGGCAGCTGGAACATAACGAACAATATAGTAATTGATGAAATCAGCTGAAATTATTCAAAATCCTGGCAATTTAAAAAAGAACATTCTTATAATTTTACTCATTTTTTCTATTTATATGCCAACTAAGAGACAAATGGGGAAAAACTCTTAAGATAGTAAATCAACTCACTTTTTTTTTTGACAAATGAAAAAATTATTAGTGGTACATTGCCACACCTTTCTCATCTCTCACTCTCTTTTTTGATTTAATTTTTCCTTTTCTACTCCTCTGCTTAAGCTCAAGCATATTAATGTTCCCAAGGATAGCATCAGATATTGTGAGATTCATGAATGAATGAATTGTAGCTGATTCCTGAGCTAAAACAACTGATGATGACAGGTTGTCTTTGAATGGTAGTATTGAACATTTCTCCATATTTTCAGGTGACATCAAATGGATATTGTTTTAGATATTTTCATTGACAAGCCAATGAGAATAAACTCTTCTGCAAAGAAATCCCTTAATGAAATGTCATCTGTTATCATCACAGGCTTCATATTTTACAGAAATTCAAAGATTGATTTCTATTTTAGATGGGGAACTAGCATGAATATTTGACTCCCTCTCCAGAAATCAGCCCTGGAAAAAACTGAAAGAAGAGTGAAAACTTATGAAAAGCCATAGCAAAATCTCTTGGAAAATGGAAAACTGTACTGGTGTGTGTATGTGGTTTCACAGCCTACACTGGAAGGCCTACTAGAGGTGCCAGTTAAAGGACCAATGGGATAAATATTAAAAATGTCTGTCCTTGTCTTTATTATGATTCTTAAGTTATCATTGTCTACCCCTTTCACCACAGAAAGCAGCAGGAAAAGCCTAGACTGCAGGTGAGGGATCTAGACAGTACTATCAGGGCAGTACATAGACTTACAGACTTGAGGAGAGAGGATCTAATGTAAACAGGTGAAGATGGACAATCTGCCTTCAGGTATTTAATCATCCTCTTCTCTTCTCAACCTTGAGAGCTGATGAATTGCAATCTAGATAGACTTTCTTCCAATTTTGTTTCTTTCTGAGTTTAAAGGTGAAACTCTGACCAGAGGTGCTGCTTAAAAGTGTCAGCTTGGGAAATGATCAACAATGTCTGGGTCTCTCTGCCCTGGGGTTCATCCATTCCCTTCTCTTTAAACCCAACAGAGGCTGATACAGACTGGAGCCTAACCTTAGACCCTTACTGAAGGTGCATTTCCAAACACGTAATGATACTCCAAGAGAGAAAGAACTTATGGGACCAAAGTAAGTAGCCATCTGAGATGTACAACTACTTCAAAAGAAAACAAATTGGATAACATATACCATTTGAATCAGAATTACTGGAATAAAAGGACCAGGAATTTAAAGTAAGTGTGGCAAATATACTTAAGGAAAGAAGATATTAGATAATATAATAAGAAAGTATAAAATGAATCAATGGAAATACTAGTTATAAAAGATTAGGTATAAAACATTTAAATACAGAAATATAGTAGGTGAGATAGAGTACAATGAAAAGAGCTGAAATATTAATTAGTGAAATATTAATTAGTGTCCAACCAGATTGAGGAACCCTCAGAAGGTAACAAGGAAGGATAAAAAGGTAGAAAATGGAAAGTTACAAGATAAGAGTATAGAAGTAAGAGTGCTAATCTTTGGGTAATGGGCACTCCAAAAGAAGAGAAAATAAAAATAGCGAAGGGAAATTATTTAAAGAAGTAATGAATTAAAATTTCCAGGATCAGAGAGAGATTAAAGACCTTACATTAGAAGGGCTCATACAGGTTAAAATAGAGGAGATAAAAAAAGTCCCAACCTGAACACATAATCAGTTCAGTTCAGTTCAGTCACTCAGTCGTGTTCAACTCTTTGCAGCCCCATGAACTGCAGCACGCCAGGCCTCCCTGTCCATCACCAACTCCCAGAGTCCACCCAAACCCATGTCCATCGAGATGGTGATGCCATCCAACCATCTCGTCCTCTGTCATCCTCTTCTCCTCCTGCCCTCAATCTTTCCCAGCATCAGGGTCTTTTCAAATGAGTCAGCTCTTCGCATCAGGTGGCCAAAGTATTGGAGTTTCAGCTTCAATATCGTCCTTCCAATGAACACCCAGGACTGATCTCCTCTAGGATGGACTGGTTGGATGTCCTTGCAGTCCAAGGGACTCTCAAGAGTCTTCTCCAACACCACAGCTCAAAAGCATCAATTCTTCAGTGCTCAGCTTTCTTTGTAGTCCAACTCTCACATTCATACATGACTACTGGAAAAACCATAGCCTTGACTAGATGGACCTTTGTTAGCAAAGTAATGTCTCTGCTTTTTAATATGATGTCTAGGTTGGTCCAGCAGCTGACTGTGGCTCAGATCATGAACTCCTTATTGCCAAATTCAGACTGAAACTGAAGAAAGTGGAGAAAACCACTAGACCATTCAGATATGACCTAAATCAAATGCCTTATGACTATACAGTGGAAGTGAGAAATAGATTTAAGGGACTAGATCTGATAGACAGAGTGCCTGATGAACCATGCACAGAGGTTCATGACATTGTACAGGAGACAGGGATCAAGACCATTCCCAGGAAAAAGAAATGCAAAAAAGCAAAACGACTGTCTGAGGAGGCCTTACAAATAGCTGTGAAAAGAAGGGAAGCGAAAAGCAAAGGAGAAAAGGAAAGATATTCCCATTTGAATGCAGAGTTCCAAAGAATAGCAAGGAGAGATAAGAAAGCCTTCCTCAGCTATCAATGCAAAGAAATAGAGGAAAACAACAGAATGGGAAAGACTAGAGATCTCTTCAAGAAAATTAGAGATATACCAAGGGAACATCTTATGCAAAGATGGGCTCAATAAAGGATAGAAATGGTATGGACCTAACAGAAGCAGAAGATATTAAGATGAGGTGGCAAGAATATACAGAAGAACTGTACAAAAAAGATCTTCACGACCCAGATAATCATGATTGTGTGATCTCTCACCTAGAGCCAGACATCCTGGAATGTGATGTCCAGTGGGCCTTAGAAAGCATCACTATGAACAAAGGTAGTGGAGGTGATGGAATTCCAGTAGAGCTCTTTCAAATCCTGAAAGATGATGCGGTGAAAGTGCTGCACTCAATATGGCAGCAAATTTGGAAAACTCAGCAGTGGCCACAGGACTGGAAAAGGTCAGTTTTCATTCCAATCCCAAAGAAAGGCAATCCCAAAGAATGTTCAAACTACTGCACGATTGCACTCATCTCACACGCTAGTAAAGTAATGCTCAAAATTCTCCAAGCCAAGCTTCAGCAATATGTGAACCGTGAACTTCCAGATGTTTAAGCTGGTTTTAGGAAAGGCAGAGGAACCAGAGATCAAATTGCCAACATATGTTGGATCATTGAAAAAGCAAGAGTTCCAGAAAAACATCTATTTCTGCTTTATTGACTATGTCAAAGCCTTTGACTGTGTGGATTACAAGAATCTGTGGAAAATTCTGAAGAAAATGGGAATACCAGACCACCTGACCTACCTCTTGAGAAACCTATATGCAGGTCAGGAAGCAACAGTTAGAACTGGACATGAAACAACAGACTGATTCCAAATAGGAAAAGGAATATGTCAAGGCTGTATATTGTCACCCTGCTTATTTAACTTATATGCAGAGTACATCATGAGAAACGCTGGGCTGGAGGAAGCACAAGCTGGAATCAAGATTGCCGGGAGAACACATAATAATGACTTTAAACATTTTGAATAAAAAGGTAAAATTCTAAAATTCTTCAAAGAGAAAGGTACTTCATCTGTAAAGGAAGAAAGGTCAGATTTCTCAACAGTAATTCTGGATGCTGAGAGGCAGTGGAGCAGTTATTACTGAAACATTAAAAGAACTTTGACCTCACACCCAAGATGTTACCTAAGTGTAAAGGCACAATAAGAAACATTCTCAGGTATTCAATGTGTAGTATTAATCACATAGAGAATCATATTGAAAATAGTTTTTAAAGTAAGCTCTCAGTAAGTAAAGCAAATGTAGGACAGAATACAAGAGGTATGGCAAGAAAAAAATCTTCAGATATTTTGGTTAAGTCTATTGCAGATTTACAAAAAGTCTAGGTTCAGATTGCTTGTCTGGTGGCTCAGATGGTAAAGAATCTTCCTGCAAAGCCAGAGACCTGGGTTCGATCCCTGGTGGGGAAGATTCCCCTGGAGGAGGAAATGGCAACCCACTCCAGTATTCTTGCCTGGAGAATCCTCATGGACAGAAGAGCCTGGAGGGCTACAGTCCATGGGGTTGTAAAGAGTTGGACATGACTAAGTGATTAAACGCAGCTAGGTACAGAGGAAAAAGAGAAAGGATATTATCCGTAATAACCGACTCTTACATCCTGGATAAATATCAGTATGATTGGGATAGGAAGCAAGTTGACAAATCGGTCATCAAAGTGTACTAAAATCCTTGTCTTAACTGGGGGAAGATATAGATTTACAAGTTTAAGGAATCATTAGGGTAAATGGCCATGAATATGTCCTAATAAGGACAACCACTATAACTTTTCAACTTCCAGAAGAAGTTTCAAGGAATATAGTGGAAATTACAAAGGTTGAAAAAAGTAACAAAAATACTGCAAACTATGAAATATGATAGCAGAACTATGTCCTATATTACAGTAATTATAATAATTATAAATGAGTTCAACTCAACAGTTACAAAATAGAAACTGTCAGAGTATGCTGAACAACAAAACCAAATAATATGTTGTCTACAAGAGACACAGAGTAAAAAGACATAGAAAAGTTGATAACAACAGCATGGATATGAACCAAGAGAAAGCTGGGGTAGCAATCCTTTTACCTCAATAGGAATTATGCCAAAATACATCAAAGGATAAAGAAGGATGTTATTTATCTATAAAAGGATCAATAGAACAAAATATATTTTCACCATAAATATGCACGCACCTAACAATGAGGCCTGCAACTATTACTATATAAAGCAGCAACTGACAACTGC